GGGGGGGTTTAGCTTCTTGTCTGTTGTGGAGGATTGGAAGGGTGGAAGGGTGGTTGGTAGGATAGGTGGAAGGGGAGATAGGTAAGATAAGAGTGAAAGAGAAATATAGAAAGGAAACGAGCGAGCGAGCGAGCGAGCATATTAGCATCCTTCTTTTTTTTTCCTTTTTTCTTTTCCTTTTCCTTTTTGAAGAAGAGGGATTGGGGGGGGGAAGGGGGTGGACGGGAAGAGGCAGTTGAATTATCTCCATGTCTAGGTAGTTGAAGGCAGTCGATTCTTGAATCTTTCTAGGGCTTGGGTAGGTAAGGTATGGTAGGGAGGTAAAGTAAAGTAAAGTAAGGTAAGTAAGGTCCTCCCTCTTCTTCGAGCTTAGGAGAGAAAGGAGCGGAGAGGAGAGGAAAAGAAAAGAAAAGAAAGGATAAAGAAACCGTTTCATCTATACACATATATACATCGAACACTACCCGGTGTACTACGTATATCACCAATCCTGTCTTCGAGGAAGGTATGCATTCATTCTACTTGTTACCGTCAAGCTTAGATCGTCTCTTTTTCCTTTTTTTTCTTTTTTTTTCTTATAGTTGAGCGAGAGCTGACTTCCTACCTATGCTTTGTTTCTGCTCTGATTGACTCTCTCTTGAACTGTTAGGTATGAGATAGAGTCGTCTCGTGGTTATGATCTATCTTCTTGTTGTTTTGTTTAGATCAGAGGGTTGTGACTCTTTTTTCTTTCTTTCTTTTTTTCCAAGACTTCTCTTATAGTTAAGCGAGAGCCACCTTCCTAGCTATACTTTTTTTCTGCTCTGATTGACTCTTTCTTGAGCCGATCAGTATGAAATAGAGTCGTCTCGTAGTTATGAGCTATCTTCTTATTGTTTTGTTTGGATCAGAGGGTTATGACTCTTTTTTTTCTTGAATACCCCCCCCCCCATGAATCAATGTCGGACCCAGTTCAGCTCCATGAATCGTACAGCGGTGATCTCTGAATTGCTGAAAACCCTGCCGACTCCGTTGCACAGGCTAAATACTGGCTCGAAGATACTTTTCAAGGCTGAATGAATCCTTGTACTACGTAAGTTGATCGGTTTGAGACCTGGTGAGGTACAGTAGATCCCTTGCAGGATTATACTTTCGACATGTATTCATGGGGGAGTACAGTAGGGAGTGGAGGAAGCTCTCAGATGTAGAGAGTTCTTGGTGCCGAACGAGAGTTTATGCATTGGCCGTTAGAGGTTGACTGTTAGAGGAAAGTAGCTGATGGCTCGTAGTGATAAGTAGTAAGTGCGTATATAGAGCTTTTGAGGTGAACGTGATGATGGAAACAGGTGGTGCAGGGTAGTAGCAGCAGTAGCAATGATCGAAAGAGATTGTGATGATTAGATTGAAGGCAGGCAGGTGGGGGGGGGGGGGGGGGCTTGGGGTTTTGAGATTGAGAGTTGAGAGCTGACAGTTGAGAGTTGATTGAGAGTTGAGAGTTGAGAGTTAAGAGTTGACAGGCTAGAGAGATGGATGGAGAAAGAAAGAGGTGGAGCTGATCGGCGAGCGAGGCTGTATAGGTAAGCTAGCTAAAGCTTGGGTAGGAGTAACCTGAAGCATGTTTGTTTCGCATATGTAACAAGTACATAAATACTATAAAGTACTACGCAGATCGCATCGGGTGAGTAAGATAAAACTTTAGAGCCTTCCTGATCCAATTCTCTACCTACTACGTCGCAGGCGTAAGTATTACCCCTCGAGGGTGCCTTAAAAGTTTAGTTTCCACTTTAAACCACCCGGTTACCCTACCCTCGAGGGGTAATACTTACGCCTGCGACGTAGTATGTCCTTCAACAATATCACCAGATATACGTAGTAGTACTTGGCTTAGCTTGAGTGAGGCACCTTATTTTAAGCGAGTACCTACCTCCGGAATGATGAAATACGAATGTCTCGGGAATTAAAAATCAAGAATTAAAGCTTGATCTGGCTCGTGAGACTTGGCTACCACGGTACAGGCCTAAGTATTACCCCTCGAGGGCGTCTCGAAAGTTTAGTTTCCACTTTAAACCCCCTGGTTACCCTACCCTCGAAGGGTAATACTTACGCCTGGGACGTAGTACGAAACTAGACTTTTGAGGCACCCTCGAGGGGTAATACTAACGCCTGGGACGTAGTAGTCAGCAAGATAATGCATCGAATTATACTGCGAAGAAAGTTCGGCGGTGGTTCGGCAAAAATAAGAACACTTTATTAATCAATCGGCCACCTTATTCCCCCGATCTTAATCCGATCGAGCACGTTTGGTGGCACCGTAAAAAGAAGCTTTATTAAATGTTTCTCGACGTTGCAATCGACAAATCGGATTCAGAACACGCAAGGCAAAGGATGGAAAGTTGTTTGCAAGCTGCATGGGATACATTGGATCAGTCGTTGTTTGATAATTTGTGTTAGAGTATGCTAGATAAAATTGAAGCTTATATCGCGGCCGAAGGCTGGCATATTAAATATTAAGGTCCGTGCGCTTTCGAATAATTGGCTTAAAAATTGAGAAGAATAAAGGGAGTCCAAAGAATAAAACAGTGTTTTATTTTTACTTTTGGGATTTGTAATTACTGAGTAATTGAGAAGTGATAGCTGAATGTCTAATGTTGATTTTGACGTTCTCGCTTAAGTGGCCAACAGCAGTTGCCTAGTACTGTAGCCATTATTTGTCGAGCGAGTTAGCTAGTTAGTTAGTCCTTGCTGTTATTGTTGTTAACCTATTGCAAGTGGTTGGTTTCATTTCAGAGCTCGGGCTCAGCGTTTATATGGGATCTTTTTGCTGTGTGTATTGTGTTGTATTGTGTTTATATTGTGTTGCGGCTTTCCATGGGTGTTTTTGCATGTCTATCCTCCTAATGTGTCTATGTCTTGGTAAAGAAGACCTACTAGGTACGTGAGGCTGCGTATGGTAAGTTGGACTTCTGTCGCTCTCGTCTATATAGGTATATGTATGTATGTATGTATGTATGTATGTATGTACGTGTATCTCTTTAACGTATTCCTCTTCAGCTGGCGTTTCTCTCGCTTCCCCACCGCTTTTATGGCTGCGGAACAGGAACAGGACCAGGACCGCAGTTCTCACTTTACTGATCCGATATATACGGAGACGGATGAAAAGAGCGATAGATGGATGCATGCTAGCCGAATGGGAGCTCGATGCTTGGTATGAGCCAGCCCTACCTAAGTGTTTCGTTGTCAAATGACGCTGCCCCTTGTGTCCGGGCAAGGCCGGATTCAGGCTTTAGCTCTGACAAGAGCGAAGCTGGAGTTGAGGCTGTAGATGTATTGCTTGTCTGCCTGCCTCCTGCCTCTTTCCTCCCCTCTTCGGTTCAAGTAGATAATTCATTCTTTCCTGAACTCATACAAGGAAAGGCAAGGTAAGATGGTACAAGTCTTCTTCAATTTTTCCTCTCTTTTCCCGTACATCTCAGCCTCTTCTCATCACTTAGCCTCACAAATTATTACAAGTTATCCTCAAATATATTCTAACCTCGCTCTTCAAAAGTGTCTTATCTTCTCGGAGGACTCGTCTTGAATCTAAACTCCCGCCCTAAAGAGTCTTGTGCCCTCGAACGACTGTCGAAGATCAATATCATCACCAACCCCAAGTACCAGAAGGACGGTCTCAAGTCCTATGCCTACCTTCTCAACGAGTGGGGTTTCAACCCTACGCAACCAGGTCCATATGTCCAGATAGCGGGCCCGTCCAACTCGGGACACCAAGGTCTTCTCAGTAAGCTGGGCAAGAACTCTGCTCGGTTGCTGGTCAAGAAGGTGGGGGTTTCTCGAGACGGATCATCTGTTATCACCGAATTCGTGCCTGTACGGGACCAACAGAACGAGAATCTCTACCACTGCACTGTATCGATTGGGACTCCACCTCAGACTCTTGTACTCCATTTCGATACAGCTTCGGCTGACTCGTGGGTATGCGAACCACTCTGGCTCACATATTGCTTCTTGTGCGATTGGCCTCCCGATCATTTTGCTCATTATTTACAGGTCTGGTCTACAGAGCTCAGCAAGAATATGCAGTCTGCAGCCAAGTGTAATGGACATGAACTCTTTGACTCCACCAAGTCCTCGACTTTCACGAAAATGCGCGGCAGTACCTGGAAGATCACCCATGGTGACCACTCTGCCGTATCTGGAATAGTCGGTACTGACACCGTCGTCCTCGGAGGGCTAGAGGTCACTGGACAAGCCATCGAGCTGGCCAAATCGTTATCGGAAAGAGTCGCTCCTGGCGTTGGTGATGGAATCCTAGGCCTCGCTTTTAGATCGATCAACACTGTGACACCCAAGGCTGTGAGTACTCCAGTCGAGAACATGATCACTCAGCCAGACATCCCTAAGGGTGCAGAACTCTGCACTGCGAAGATTGGTTCCTGGTGTGACGCCGATGAGCCGGACGACGAGGGGGCTGGCTTCTACACCTTCGGTTACATTGACCTACCGACCGTGGAGGCGTCCGGCCAAGACATTTACTATACTCCAGTCGACAGCTCCGATGGATTCTGGACTGTCAGCTCCGGCTCCACCATCGTGAATGATACGGTAGTGACGAAGGGGGGAAAAACTGCCATCATCGACACCGGGAGCCCTCTCACACTTGTCTCTGATGTCGTCTGCCAGGCCATCTACGGCTCCATCGAGGGGGCCGTCTATGATCCACAGGACCAAGGTTGGGTATTCCCTTCCATCACCACCCTTGACCAGCTTCCAACTGTGAGTGTCGCTATCGGTGACAAGCAGTTCACCATCAACAAGGAGGACCTGGGATTTGCCACTACTTCAAACAGCACGATCTATAGCAGTATCCAGTCACGAGGTGATATGGACTTTGACATCCTCGGTCATGCCTTTTTGAAGGGGGTCTATGCTGTGAGAAGACTCCCTTCTTCCTATCCGCTGTTGTCTGCTGCAGATAGATCTTGCTAATGATCCGATCCTGCAGATCTTCGATCAAGGCAATCGTCGTTTTGGCGCTGTTGAACGACCGCAGGAGTACCAGGACATGGGTTTTGTTTTGGCTTGAAGCAGTAGCTGTTTTTGGATTGTTGTCGTTCTTGTTGTATTCATTTACATCTAGCGAGCTGTAGCGTACACGTGCAAAAAAGCAAACAATCTATATACAAGGTCCTCTCTGAATCTTTCCTTCCCAATCTCCACACTGGAACAATGTAAACAATTTCTTTTTGAATTGACTTGTATATCTATCATCTTTCAATAAGCATCGAATGCCAATAGTTTTTTTTTTAAAAAAAAGGAGGGTTTGTCGAGAAGAGCAGCGTCGACATCGTTTAAAATATACCTACCTACTTCGTCCCAAATCCAAAACCAAAACCAAATCCAACCTAACCCCGACGACGACACTTTCTTCTTCTTCTTCTCTTTTCATTTAAATGAACGAATCGACTCCAGGTCACGGTCACCCACTCGTCGAGGCTTTCCTCTTCCTTTGACAAGTCGAGTAGCTGGTTGTGGGAGGTACGTACATATCGATTGAAGTAGCATTGTGTGTGTGGTATGGGTATGGGATAGGGATAGATGAGATATATATATATATATATATATTCATACCCTCGATTGATCAGATCTATCCTTCGTATCTGCTAGGAATCGAACGAGCGTCTTTGATTCAGAGAGAACAAAGTTTTTCATCTGGATAGATGTAAGACAAATGTGGAGATTCATATCCTGTAGCTAGCTACCTGGCTCATAACGCTTCCGCCCGCCACCCAAGAACGAAATCGCCAAAACGGCTACTACCATTCGCGAGCGATTTTCAATGACCGGTTAGGAGGCTGATATTCATTCGCTGTGGAGATGGGGCTCAATTTCAACTTTAATTTTTCATTCTGTAATAATGATAACAAACGAATGAACTCCGTGTATCCCAGGTGTGCGTGACTGATCTTTATACAGTAAGGAAACATGCTCCATGCCCATCCTCGCCCTCTACTTCCTGTACCAAAGTCTAGTGCTACCAGGAGTCAATATCAACCAAATTTCCCGCAAGCGATCAAAAGGTTGGGACTTACATCTTGGTGTGTCTCATCTTCTTCTGCAGCTGGAACATGCCATACATCAGCGCCTCCGCCGTGGGCGGGCACCCAGGCACGTAGATATCCACCGGCACAACCCTGTCGCACCCCCTCACGACACTGTAACTGTAGTGATAGTATCCACCCCCATTAGCACAGCTGCCCATGGAAACGACCCATCTCGGCTCCGGCATCTGATCGTAGACCTGTCTGAGCGCGGGGGCCATCTTGTTCGTCAGGGTCCCGGCGACAATCATGACGTCCGACTGGCGCGGGGACGCTCTGAAGATTATACCCAGGCGGTCCTGGTCGTATCGGGGAGTGGACAGGTGCATCATCTCAACGGCGCAGCAGGCGAGTCCGAAAGTCATGGGCCAGAGGGAGCCTTGACGAGCCCAGTTGGCCATCTGGTCGAGGGTTGTCCTGTCGGGGGGTCAGGTCGGCAACTTGCTTTTGACTACACTTCCACCAGGCCCTCCCAAGTCGCATCGTAGTGGGGGAAAAAACGTACAGCGCGTATTGCATAACGCCCTTCTTGCCCTCCTGGCTAGGCAGAGGGACCTCCCTCCTCTCCTTGCCCGTCACGCCTATTATCGGTGGTGGCGAACCGGCATTGCCAGAGACATTTTGTGGTGTGAGACTGGGACTCGCGGTCTTCGAGGAGGAGGAGGAGATGGCTGCGATAGAGCGGTAGGGGATGAAGGAGGATACTGGTTTGGCTGTACGTAGAAAGATGTTTTGATTAGCTTCTTTTCTGCAACTGGGAGCTTCGAGAGGTGGCAATAGGTACCTCGCAGAGCCAGCGCGGCTGCTGATCTCGTCGAGGACAACATCTTGTCAATAGATTGAGGTTTGACAAGAAAGAAAAGAAAGGAAACGGGTGACGAGGCTGGGATTGGAGAGGCGTTCGTGGGGTTGGTGGCTCTGAGCCGTCGGCCTCAGTAAATGTTAACTGTTTGGGTATTGTAAAGGATTCACTCTGATTGGCCAATTTATACTCACGTGAGCATCATAGCGAAGTGCGAGATAGCAAAGGATATATCTAATCCATCAATATTAGTGAATATTACCAATTGTTTGGTGCAAATAGATAGTTATTAAAATTTCACGAAGACAAAGACAGGCCCAGGCAAGTTACAAGTACGTGTTCAATTTTCACTCCTCCTAATCAAGCTCTATCAAATCCTAGCGCTTTTGCTACACATACTAGGAGAGAGGTATATACCAGAAGCAATCATTATCGGACAAAACAACGCCCCTGCCAGCTAACGGCCATCACCACCACGAGTTTTACCCCTGGGCGCCACCCCTAGGCACCAGAGCTCTTCGAGTTCTCCCCCATCAGCGCGTCAATCTGAGCGTCTACCTGCTTCTCCTCTTCAGCAGCCTCACCCTTGGTCTGTTCCTTTCCGGAACGGCCACGAGGAGACGGTCGCTCATCGCTATCTTCCTCACTGCTGTCACTTCCGTGGAGACTATCACGGTTGGTCTGGCGACTTCTCATCATCTGGAAGGTATTAGTACAGGGTGAATAGGTATAGAGTAAAGTCGTAAGAAACGTACCCATGATCGAACACCACCGATCAAACCCAAACTGTATCCAGTGGCGAAGTCACTACCAGGGCCAGGGCTATCGTTTCTGGGGATCTCCAAACGGCGACTGAGATGCGAAAGGGCCGATGGGCTCGTAAGAGAGCTAGCCTTGGACGAATCATCAAAACTTGACATACGAGCTGGGGATCCAGGTCTGCTAGCTTGCCAGAACTGTCTCAACTCCTTGCCTAGCTCTTGGCCAGTAGTTGTCCAGTTCGATCGAATAGCCTCTCTCATTTCTGAGACGTGGCGCTTGAGGTCAAGCTCATTCTTCTTCAACCATGATACATTAAGCTCTTGACGCGAAGTGCCACGCTTGAATTGACGAGCAATGTACTTCTCGTAGTCTCGAACAATCCTGCCAACACAATTAATACTGTTCCGATTGGCTTGCAGCGAGAACCACGAGGCAACTTACTTGGTGATAATTCCAGTCGTGCTAACACCTTCTGTTCTCTGGGTAACCAAGAACTTGCCAGCTTCCTTGATAGGCTTGTAGATGTCGTCTCCTTCGTCGGCACCGTATGGAAGATCATCGTGTGCAACATAATCAAGCTTGTGCTCTTCCAAGAACTTGGGTGTGACAATCCACGGACAATCCTCAATGACCTCATCAACCCATCTGCAATGTCTGACTGTTTCAGCGCGCTCTTGTCCAGACAATACAGTCAAACCCTTGCGTTTATGTGTTTCCTTATCTCCCGTTACACCAACGATCAAGTACACGTCTGGGAATGCCTTCTTAGCTTGCTCGAGTTGGCGCATGTGTCTAGTCAAGCGTTAGCTTTTAGGTCCCGATGATCCAATGGTGCCCAACTCTGACTTACCCTAGATGAAACAGGTCGAAAACTCCGTCGGCGTAGACCCGAACCGCTCTACCAACGGGAGCCGGGTTGGTTTTATACCCAACGGGATCCGTCAGCTGTCCCAGCGGTGGTGGTGCCATCGCCTCTGGCTTATCCTCTTCCCCATCCTTGGACTTCCTGCCCTTGCGTCCAACGCGTTTCTCAATGTCGGAGCTCCCTTCGGTACTTTCGGACGGCTCTCCGGGATCGCCATTGACTTTTTCGTGGGTCGCTGACCTGAGTCGTTTGGGAGCAGGAGCATTGTCAGTGGATGAGCCCTTCTTGTGCTTAGTGGTTTCTGGCGCTGTAGATTCTCCATCCTCTCCGGAAGCATCTCGAGACGACGGCTGCATAACTGGGTTCTTCGTCAAGGTACTCGTTCTCTTCCGCTTGCCGGATCCTGCTGACGATGGCGAGGACATGTTGCTTGACGTCTGTCTGGGTGCCGACGTGTTCTCGGACAAGGAGTCTCTGATTGACGCAGGATGCTGTTTGACCCGGAATGCCTAGGAAGATGAGAGTCGCAGTGTTCCACGGGTTTCTGGAACAAAGTGGGAGTTCAGTCGCGGGTGAAAGAAAGCGGGTGGTGATTGAGTGTAGTCGATGAGGTTGTGTAGGACGACAAGTTGACAAGTAACCTGAAATCAGAACTAGCACGTTCACAAGGCAAGGCAAGGCAAGGCAGGGCAGGGAAAATATCAGAGCTGGGGTGCGACCCTGGTCAAGTGAGTCCGGAGGATCAATGCGGCTCGAGGTTGAAAAAGACGAGACAAATGGTTTTGTGTTTACTCGAGAAGAGGATTGAATTGTTAATTGCACCCGCAGAACGTCCTGTGTCGATTCTCGTAACGACTTAGTAAGGTACGTGGACTTTCATCCACGCCGTGGATACGTAGAGGATAGTGGCGAAGGTACGGAAGTACAACTACTTCGCCCTGCCTTCCTTCCCTAGCACGCATGCATGCTTGCCGTGCCCTGCCCGGTTTATCCCATCTATGATCCAGCAAAACGTCATATGTCACGTGTCGAGCCCCGAGCATGCGACTTCGCATTTCGCTGGGGATCTAGGGATGCTGACGCTCATATTTTTCTTTAGTATAAACATGGCATGCAAATGGCCATCCAAGAGTTAGTACCAGTTCAACATCACCTCAAGCTTACAGGATAAACCAAACAATCCGAAATATCGAGACAACTATGTTTGAAGTGCCAATTGGGCGCTTCTTCATTCAGTACATGCAGCAGCTGTCCTTATTCTAGGCCTTTCCTTCCGTGACTGAAATCTGATGCAAAAGAAAAGACACGAGAAAATCGCTGCGTGATGGAATTCGTAATCCGGAAAATAACGGGAGGAGACAGTAGCGCCGCCCAGTATTCCGAGTGTTGCAATGCGAGAAGTGCTCCGGCATCCTTAACCTCCCGTTCCTCATGCTATCCTCCAGCCCACCCACTCATCCAGTTGAGAAAATAAGTTATCCGTGAAGCTATATCCGGTAGTGTCATTCAATCAAACACTTTGCGGCTTTTCCAGGCATTTTGTGTAGAATAAACGTATGTCCAGAAACACCTATCTCCCAGAATGCCGAGGTGCAGCAAGCTTGCCGCAAGCTCTCTCGGTCAAAGAAATTCTGCTGGTTCTACTTCGATGGCTTGGTAGTCTTCTCGTCTGAATTATCGGCAATACCCTTGTAGTTTGGCTCGGAATCGCTGATCTTCTCTGGAGTGGCCGTGGTCTCAACCGGCTGTCCCCTAGTGACTTGGCTGGCCAGATCCTGGTCCTCCTCGCTGCGGTCGAACATCTCGGTATCGTCCGAGTCTGTAAGGACCTCAGTGCCATCTCCAAGAAGGATTATACGACCACGAGGGTTACCTCCGATAGACTTTGACTTTTTGTCCATGTCAACATCATACCCGCTGTCGCTATCATCAAAGTTGTGGTGAACGCCCGGGCCCCGGAACTCCGCTAGTCCAATGATTAGCCCAGTTCTGATTAGACAATAACAAAATACTTGCCATACTCGGGAGGTGCACAAGGACCGTCTCCATTGGCTACTCTCTTCGCAATCTCATCGTACCACTCCTCCTTGGTCTTGCCGCCCAGAAGTCCGATGATGATAATGGTCATGTTATCGCAGCCAACACCTCCGGTCTCGGAGCTGGAAGCAAGACAGTTGTCCATCATGTTCTCGCAGATCTTCGAGAGGTCTTGCTTGGCAGCGATTCCGCGCCGAACAAACTCGACAACTGCTTGGGAGGACTGACAATCCCAGATACCTGTGGACAGTGTTAGAGCTATTTGAATTAAAATTAAATTACGAGACGGCGTACCATCACAAGCAACGACCAAGAACTCATCATCAGGAGAAATATTGTGAACGGTGACGTCGGGGTAAGCTGTGACAATCTGTTGCTCGGGAGCAAGCTCGGCGCTCTTCTTGAACTCAAAGTCACCAATGGCTCTGGACAGAGCAAGATTACCGTTGACTCGTCCAAAGTCAACGAATCCACCGGCAGCTGTAATTCTTGCCTTTTCGCCTGCAATTCAGTAAGCAATCGCGTCAAGGCATTTGCCCTCTAAGTCGTGTGCCTACCTTCATTTTGCGGCTTGTGATCGAACGACAATGGCTTTGCTCTGCCCTTGACACCTAAAACACTTCTAGAATCACCAGCGTTTCCCTGAAGAGGTCAGTCATGGCCCGGCCGACTCCACAGGTACCACCTACGACAAATATCTGAGTTGCCGAGACGATAGCAACGGAAGCTGTGCATCCAGAAACCTCTTCCTCGTACCGTGGGTCTGCAAAGCACGAGTCAGTTTCCTATAGCCCCCAGATAAGTGCGGGCTTGCTGACCGCTGAGGATTGCCCGGTCGGTTGCCAAAAATCCATCCTTCAAGGCCTGCTCCAAATCACCCTTCTTGAAGGCATCCTGCTTTGCGATAATGGGATGGATATTCTCGCCGGCGAATAGTGCCACCTTATCTCCTCCGTGTCCATCATACACTCCAAAGAATGAAAGCCTCGATTCAGCGTCCTTGGGTTTCGTGTTCTTTTTGTCCTCGGCCACTGACTGCAGGTCGAGCACAGCAGCATGCGCATCCTCCATACTGATTCTCCATCCTTGCATCGAAGACACACCGTAGATCAAGCGATCGTCGCCACCATTCTCGGAAGTCTAGTAGAGCGAATAAGTCAGCACCGTGAAAACAAAGATTGTAGGATTGGAACGCGCTGCAGGCTTATCCCCGCAGCACGAGAGTAGATCCAAGGGAGTCGAAAGTTTGGCAGACGATTGCAGAAGCGCACTCAAGTAAATCCTGCTGGCGCACTGGTTCTGACAGAATCGAAGATTATAATATGGTCGGATATGCAAATAAAAGCTAGCTAGCGGGCTCTTGCTGATGATGCCGGACGACGAACGATAAAAAAGGAGTGCAAACCTTGTCGATCACCGGTTCGGACAGGGTCTGACCCATCTTGCTTGGTGCCTGTCTTTCTGTCTACCTTATCCTTCCTCGCGATGTCGGAGGGCGGTGGTGGACAGCAGGTATTGGGGCTTTGTGAAAGGAAAATGACGATATGCGGGGTTCTGTAGAGCTGGGAGAGGGAACGCTGGGATAGTAGAGCGCAGACTATCTATGCTTTTGCATCAGAGGGAGGTTTGTGTGAGTATTCTTCTCGATTGTCGATGTCCGGTATATGAAGATTTGTTCGAAGTCGCGTGAAGGAAACTCGGGCTGTTGAAGGATCTCCCCGAGAGAGAGAGAGAGGGAGAGAGATCGAACTAAGGCGGCGCGCGCTACCGAGGAAGCGCTAAGCGGCAACAGTCTTAGCGCGTAAATTGCTCAGTGTGTTGTTTGTGACGTTGGGAAGAAGGTATCTCCGTATATATATACATATATAAAAATATTACACCATGGACGTTTGACTTAATACAGGTGCATAGGTACAGCAAGTAGTATTGGATTCCTATCGCAAGCACTGTCTCTTCATTTTCATCGTGAGTTTCAATACATCCATTTTATCTCCATGCCTGATCGTGACTGTGCGTCCAGAACCACTCACTACTGTACCGGTACTTATCAACCACGAAATCGATACAGCTGGCGCCCGTCAGGCGCAAGCTTGGGTCTGTTGATGATCCTGATCCTGATCCTGATCCTGTCAGTGGCAGCGCTGCCGCAGCGTCATCGAAAATTCACGTCAAGGCCATCCTTGCAACGTTTTCCTCTCGGGGAGAACTGGATCTCCGGTTTTCGTTTCGGGCTGGCCCTCGCCACCGGTCTCTGATATCCGAGGATCTGGTTGTCCGAAACGCAAGCTTCCAAAAATGAAGCTTCAGCAGACAGGATCCGAGGTATGCGGGCGAGATACGGTACGCGGGTTGGTAGGACAGAGAAAGCTACGTAGCCCTTCCCCCTCCTCTTCGTCCGAGCTTCAGATGCCATGCACGCCTCCGTAGAACAAACCAAGCCCAACGTTTCAATATCGTATCCTGCAGTGCAATGCAATGCAATGCATCAGTGCAGAATTTTCTTGCCTCGCCCTAAAAACTTGAAAACGTTACAATCGCCAGTTTAGCAATTGCTGAAATATCAAACCATTCCTCTGAGCTAGTCTGAATATAAGACAAACACCGTACACCACAAGATCCTCCCTCCCCTCCGCCCTCCAACCCCGCAATAGCACTTCCATTCCAATAGAAAAATACACGATTCTTTTCGAATAGAAAAGTCATCCAACTAACCTCTCCCCCGACCCTGCCGAATATATCCATGGTATATTTCTCGACTTCGAATCATGGGAGCTTTAGCGAGCAAGAAGGAAGTAAATAAACCGCCTCCCTCCTCATTTGCACGAGTCTTGACCTGCTGAACCATGACAAAAATGATTGAACGGAGCGTAATCAACATATGGACATCCAGATTCCTGATATGAAAACATCCGAGTTCCTATCTCAGGTCCCCTTGGGAGATTGAGCACTCATTCACCCCTCAAAGACTACAGTAGAAATAAAGATGCTCCACAAATGTGAAATGAGAGAGGAACTCAGTATGCCTTGAATGCTACGCATTTATATGCCTGCTATGCTCGGTACTATTCCCTAATCATCCCTCGGCAACTTTGCAGTCCCCACAAATAAGCATTGAGCAGTATTTACACTCCCAAGGTGTCCTGTCAGGCCTGGGTTCCAATGGCTCTTCTTTATCTATAGCAGGCGAAGATTCCACCATGTCCTCAGATCTGGTGGGCGAGTTCGCATCAGTCTCTGCTGGGTCGGCAAACTTGATTGTCTCGACGCAACGGTAGCACTCCTGCCCCTCCCTTGGGAAAAAAACGTTGGGTGCCGTCCATTTGTGCTCACATCGCCACCCCCAATTCCATCCACCTTCAGATACAGCGCTGCCCAATGCATCCTTAGTATCGTGGGAATTGCCATTTTCGTCGACGTCAATCTCACCGGTCTCGTCTGCGCCTTCATATTGCCGGGAACATATACAGAAATTGTTTAGTTGGAGACATTCCCAGCAGAAACATGTGCCGCAGCGACATCTGGATAGTTTCAGCACCTGTGAGTACATGCGCCTCACGTCTCCGAAATACTTACACTACAAGGTCACATCCTCCAATTTTTTGGATACCTATCGCGCACTCAGGGCACCGCTTGAAGTCCTCTTTCTCTAGTATCTCCCCAGTGGTCGCTTCGAGGAAATTTTCATGCGAGGATCGGCATGAAAGGCAAACCAAGGCTTGACATGTTGGACATGTAACATTACCCACCAGACGGGGCGTATCAACTTGCATAGGGTATCCACAGTCGTAGTTGTCAATCAATGCTTCGGCTTGTGGCACCGGAGATGCCTTCTTTGGATCATAGAAGAGCCTTGGAGGGATGAATGTTGAGCAAGTCGGATTTGGGCAGTAAAGTGGGTTCTGTGTGCTGTGCTCCACGAATTTCGATTTGTAGTACTCGACCTCTTCGATAGACAGCAGATCATCGACGAGTGCCACCGGTATAGGGACACAGCATCTTACTGGAATATTTGATGGATCCATACAGGACAACAGGAACCATTCCTTGATACAGCTGATGCAGAACTTTTTGCGGAGACACTTATAGCATCGGAAGGGAAACTGGTCTTCTCCAAAATTCTCCATGCAGATTTCGCAACCCTTCTTCCTGCTAACATGATCATGGGCGGGCCGTGAACCATCTGAGGAGCCTGGCACATTGGTGGAAGTTAGAGAGGCAATGGATGGATGAGATGGTGGAGATTGAGCTTTATCTTGCTGATTCGCCGTTATCCCAGCCCGGTTCGGTGACGGAGCCGGAGTGGAGGGCGGAGAACGAGCGTTATTAACTGTGTGCATTGTGCACACCTAGGTAGGGATGATACAGATGCGATGGCTGTGATAAGTATGTAAGTACAGTACAGATGAAGTTGGCTGGTGATCAACGAGCGATAGCGAACGAAATATGAGTCCTGAAAGAGTCAAACTCGACTCTCAAGGAAAGGAGGAAAGATATATACGATCATAGATTGGAATTGGGAAGGGCCAGGGCAGCGATCCAGGTTGAAGAGGAGGAAAGAACGACAAACAGGAGAAGAGGGAAACGAGGGAAAGGACACAGAAGCAAGCGGACGGAAAGTAATGGGGAGGGAGTGAAAAGGAAAGGAGCTTCAGATCAACGCTAGAGAGAGAGATATGTAGATAGATGATATCTTCAGTTTATATTCCAAGGATGCATGGAAGCCAGTCAGTCTTGTTGTTGCTTAGGATGCAGATTTAGATGCAGATGTAGATGTAATCATTTTGTACTGCAGGTAGTTTGACTGACTAACTGCCAGTCAGCTGTTGTTGTTGTTGTCGTTGTTGCTTGGCTCGGCGCCGAACTTCAACCGATCATCGACGGGTATCGATTAATAGTCAGCGCACTGACTATTTCCGTACTTTACTCACTGATGCCATGAGAGAATTGATACGCTTGCAGATGGACCGATATCACGCACATCATCTGGAAAAGGGCTGGCGGCCGCGGCATAGAATTGTAGTGGTGGCAAGGTAGTTAACATAGGTAGGGTACCGGAAGTTTTTTAACCGCAGATGTGGTGGCTACTAGCGAGTTTGCAGCGCCCAACTTTGTTTGTTCTTCAGAATTGGGCTTCGAGGACTGAGTGAGAGGTCCGTAAAAACACCTGCATTTTCCTCATGCACAAATACAATGCACAATTAAGACCTGGCGAATACATAAAAAAGAAAACCAAAACCAAAAAGAATCAAAAATCAAAAACCATAAATCCCGAATAGAGTGCAGATACCGTATCTTCTCTTCATACTTGTATTCCTTCCTTCCTTCCTTCCTTCCTCCCTTCCTTCGAGCTCTTCTCCTACCATGGCCGCCCTGCCCGATCCCAGGTCCTGGCCGGCTTTGGCTTGTACACCGGTCCAGGATTTCCAGAAATATCCCCCTAACTTAACCATTCAACAGGTTGGCTCGCATGTGCTTCCAGCTTAGCCCTCGTTTCCCAGTATTTACTCTATAAATCCAAGTCGTCGTTGTTTAGCGTTTCAGTTGAAATAGACATTTCCAGGTCCTCGAGGGTATTCGAATCAATTACCTTATCGTATGCAAAGCGTAATGCCTTTTCCGGGTCTTTTGACACTAGTGACTCGGTATAATTCAAGATATTTTTTTTCGTTTGTTCTTCATAATCTCTTACCATCCTCAGGGTTAGAAAATGGGAACTATACTTTGCTTAAGTCTTTCATCTTTTTATTATCTGCCTCGATAGCACAAAACCATAAGTATATGTCGTCATACCAGCCAGCAGGTCTATTTACTTTTTAAATTATTAGTTTCGCGTAATGAGTAACAATTTAATGAATGTAAATCCACTTACCTATTTGAAAGCCATTTTCTAATTGTTGCGGCCCTTTTTTATCGAATTTCCCTTCTTTACCAGGTCCTCTACTCTCGTTGATATACTAAGCTTCTTTTCATAATTCGGGTAATTCGTATAAGCTTACATTATATAAATTAAGTGAAACTTAATTCGAGAACAGATAGATAACCGATAACTTCTCTTCAGCGCCATTAAAAAAGAAAGCTTGAGGCTAGCAAGATCGAGCAAATAGATTACGATAATAGCATCATTTAAGAAATAGCGAAATAGTGTTCAAGGTTTGTAAGTCTTTCGATCGTGCGAAAGGTGATAGTAAGGAAGGTGATGCTAAGGAAAGTGATGGTAAGCAAGGTGACGGATTTGATCTGGAGTGTGCAATGGGGGACATATATCTCTTTTCTGTAATGTATTTGACCATATTCATTTTACTAACTTAGTAACCGCATTTGAGATTTCTACGTCGACTGTAGATAATCGTGCGGCTACCGGTGATACCGCATAAACTCATCAAAGTGGCGCACAGGGCTGTTGACTCCATAAGATCGACGCACTGTCTGTATTGGCAAAGGCTCGACTTCTAACTGTTGAAGATATATTGATTATAGCTCCAGCATCATTTCGAAGTCCATCCACCGTGTTGACTATTTTAAATAAGTGCATAGCGAGCCGTGCGCGGTGGAGACGGACAGCGGCGAAAAGTAGCCGATTAGCAAGAAATGATAACTACCTAGGTAAGTACCGCATAAACTCGACAGAATTGGCGCCTAAGGCTGCCAATAACGTCTAATCTCTGTTTCTTGACTGATCGGTGCGTTGCTTGCGCAAAGGCTTAGATGGACTTCGAAATTACGCTGGAGCTATAATTAATATTCTACGTATCTTCACCAATTACTATCCCCCCCCATGAATGAAAGGCAGCATCCCAAGGGTGGCTCGAGCCAAAACACAGCAAAAGTGTACCCTTGGAATCCTGCCCTACGTATATCTATGGGGGCAGTAGAAGTCAAGCCCTGCCTAATACAAGCAATGTGTCGATCTTATGGAGTCCATAGCCTTGGGCGCCACTCTGTCGACTATATGCGGTATCTGAATCTTCAGTTTCGAGCAGCCAAAACGCTCGCTTCCGTCTTACAACGTTGAATTCTGCTACTAGCTAAGTCATCTTTTTCCTCGCTTCTCTACCTTGCTAGCCCCACCGCGCATGGCTTGCCATGCACTTATTTGAACCACTTAATATCCCGTAATACTTATTGCAAATACCTAGCCTTGCCCGACCGTCCATATGCCCGACAAAGATGCAGGAACCCCAAGGGTCTTTCTCGTAAGACACGGTACGTTCGATAACCATGTCCTACCTAGATAACTACCTTTCACTAGAAAAGGTTGCCTATGAGGTAGAGGCCTTGAGACCACCACTCAACCACATTGGAGACTGACTCGGGTCCAGGAGAGACCGAATGGACCATCTCCGGAAGATACACCGGCCGCAGTGATATCCCTCTAACAGCCAACGGCGAGAAGCAAGTCTCCTCATCCGCCAAGGTCATTGTCGGTCCAGGGAAGATCGTCGACCCCTCCCGAGTCGCCCACCTGTTCGTCTCCCCTCGCACCCGCGCCCAACGCACCTACGAACTCCTCTTCGACGATGCCTCTCGCTCCAGGCTTCGAGAAAACTACGAGACCAGCGAGGACATCCGAGAGTGGGAGTATGGGGCGTATGAAGGGCTGTTGACAGCTCAGATCAGGGCTGCGCGTAGAGAGAAGGGCTTGGACAAGGAGAGGCCGTGGAATATCTGGGTCGATGGATGTGAAGAGGGAGAGTCGGCTGACGAGGTCAAGGAGAGACTTGATCGGATTATTGTGAAGATTCGGGAGATGCAGGGGCCGTATATGAATGGGGAGAAGGCTGTGGATGTCGTCCTCATTGCGCATGGACACATCTTGAGGGCTTTTGCTAAGAGGTGGATTGGGTTCGAACTCAGCCAGGGATTGCCCATGATGCTAGAGCCGGGAGCTATTGGTGTCTTGTCTTACGAGCACCATAAAGTTGACGAGCCGGCCTTCTTGCTCGGCATCAATATGGGAGGAAGCGAATAGACATAGAAAGAGGGATACATGATCACTACAGAGCGTGAGACCATGTCAGGTCTTGCGAACTCATGGCTTTCGTTTGAATGTGTACAAGAACAGCCCTTCCCTGGAAAACGTCTGTCTGTCCTGATCCTCAATTTCCTCGACCAGGAACTTCTTCTTGGCATTTTTTATGAACTGCATATCTGCTCTCCTCCGCTTCTTGAAGCAGAAGTAGACGACGGATTCCTCGCACAGCTCAAGGAGGTCCTCAAGCGTAGCGAGAAGTAAGGGGAAGGCGGGCTCGAAGTACACGCAGTCGGCTGCCAGGATCAGATCTGGTTTCACCTTGACAACTGCTTCTGGCAACGGATCACCCCTAGAATACGGTTAACAAAGAGGTGCTGATGGAGAGACAATACATAGAAGCGGCTTACCAATTCAGCACGATTTCCTTTACACGTGACTCCAGACCGTTCAGCTTGATGTTCTGCTGCATCAGATCGAGCATATTTTCTTGATCGGAAATGTAGATGGGATGGTCCAGTTCACACCCAACAGCCACCGCCAGTCCAACCAGTCCACCACCAGCTCCGAGCTCAAGACTTCAATTGCAAGTCAGCGACGCCCCGCCGACGCTGGAGAAGACCAAGACTCACATCCGAGCCTTTCTCAGCGAAGTTCTGTGGTAACGAAGCATCTGCTGAGCCAGTACCATACCGGCAGGCCACAGCTGTCCGCCACATCCAGACTTCAGGTCTTCGTGGAGCTGAAGCGGAGACTCGAGGAGACCCGAGAAGTCGATTGAGGTGGTTGAGGCGGATTTGTATGCGGGTACGGGAGCGAGATCCTCGTCCATGGCTCGGGGAGAGAATTCTGGAGAAACAGACCGGGACGACATATTGCAGAGTTTTTGATGGAAGTGGAAGAGGAAGAGGAAAAAAAATATATATATATATATATAATTGGTGGCAGGAGTAGTCAGAGGTCAGGAAGGAGAGGCCATCGAAGTAGGTTGCAGGTATGGTAGCTGCTGTCGATCGCTTAAACATCGGCTATGAAAGGCTCGGTTATGGTTAGGTCTTACAACTAGTGCTCGTCCCGATCTCCTCCCTTTCATCCCTTTCCTCCCATTCCTCCACACTGCTCCATTGTCACCCATCATCTATTCATCATTCACCTTGGAATCCCTTCATTTTGACTTCGCAACAACTCTGCAATATCTTGGTGCTATGCCTCCTTAATTAGGGATAGGGATATGGATACGGCGTCCAAAACCCGAATGCCGCCTCCTCCATTGTGGAAGCCAGCTAGCTCCTGGCCTCCAGAAGAAGATATCGCGAACGCAGCTCTCACTGCAATGCCCGCTCTTCGTCAGCTATTCTCGCTCAACTCGAAGAAAGGATTCTGACAGCAGAGCTTGGAAATCCAAGCATCTTTTCTGTTTCACCGTTGTCAGACAGAATACTGAGATATACTGTAATCCGTATGGCTGGTACGATGGCCGACACAATTCCAGCAATGCATGCCAGCCGGTGGCTGGCCTGAAGTATTTATCAGCCTCTGGACCACATGTACTGCCATCGTATACATGCCCAGCACTATTGAAACTGGGCGAGCTCGTGTCTGTATGCATTACCATCTTGTCCATCCATCGCAGGGCTGGGTCGACTGGCTCCGTCCCTTGCAGTCTGTCATTCTTCACTTTGTTGGATTCCAAGCAAGGCGAAACCACCGATAGACGTGCCTCCCTCACTGCGCCTCCAAAATTCCCTTTTTGATGACAACCAGCATCATGTCCGCTCTCTCTCATTGTTACTTTTTCTATCGATTTGCATGCATGTACTTGGGAACAACGGGTTTATCTTGCGTCGCCTTAATACCAGAGACTCCAGTCGGAGGTCCTACCAAGCAGCAAGTTTTCTGTAGCCAGCAGCAGTCTCACGAAGATGGCGCTGCGGGGCGTCTTTTCCGCTGTTGCCATCTTTGCCTCGATCACCAATGCGATCCCAACGGTTGCCTTCCCTCTCAACTCTCAAGTTCCTCCTGCGGCACGTATAAATATGCTTTTCTCCTATACCTTTCCCAGCTCGACGTTCTCCTCTACGCTGCCCATGACATATACCCTCTCAAGTGGACCCGATTGGCTTTCCTTAGACAGCAACTCTCGGACCCTATCTGGTACACCTTCGACAGAAGACGTGGGCACAGATGTAGTGACCGATGTTCCCATAATCTTAATGGCAAGCGACGCTGATGGATCAGTAACACTCGATGCGAGGCTGGTAATTTCGCAGAATCCAGCGCCATCTCTTAGCATACCGGCGACACAGTTGGAAAAGGCTGGCGAATTTTCAGCTCCTTCAACACTTCTGTACCATCCATCAACACCATTCAACATCAAATTGGATCCTGGCACCTTCACGAGTAATGGTAGCGATGCTACTTTCGCTTACTATGCGCTCAGCACAAATAACACGCCAATGCCATCATGGATACAATTCGATGGCAGTACACTGGCCTTCAGTGGACAAACTCCAGACTACCAGTCCCTCATATTGCCACCACAGACGTTTGGGATACAGCTCATCGCTTCTGATGTCGAGGGATTTAGCGGGACGTCGATGTTCTTTGAAATTGAGGTCGGAGTGCACCTATTCGCATTCAATCCCGCAGACACTGTCGTCAATGTAACAGTTGGGGGCGATTTCAGCTTCGATGGACTTTCTGGGAACCTGGAGCTCGATGGACAGGTTGCGAAGCCAACGGATATTGTCTCGGCGACTGCGCAGACACCATCGTGGATCATCTTCGACAATACAACTCTTACGCTCACTGGAACTGTCCCACCAGACGCAACCTCCGTGAACATCACTATGCTAGCGACGAATATCTACGGAGATACAGCAGACGTAATCATACGAGTCGTGATTACGGGCGCGTTGTTTAGCAGGTCAATTGGTGACTTTAATGCTACAATAGGTTCAAATTTCTCGTACGACCTGAGCACCTACCTGACCAACAAAGCCGACACAGTTCTCACTGCTAAGATCCCTCCCCATAAAAATTGGCTCTCTCTCGACTCGGAAACCTTCACGCTGGCGGGAGAGATATCATCCGAAGCGGAACCAGAGACAATTGACATCGAACTGTCTGCAAGATCAAAGTCCACAAATAAGGAGGAATCCGAATCGTTCAAACTGCTGCTTGTCGAAAGCAATACCACTTCTACCAATAGTACTACCTCAACAGCAACGAGAGCTTCCTCGAAGAATACTTCGAAAGGCCCTGCTGCTACTGCATCAACAACGAGTGAGCCCGCAGCCGTTGCCGCAAGCTCTTCTAAGCGACTTAGTAGCAATGCCATTTTGGCAATATCCATACCAATTGGTGTGGTATTTTGCACCCTTTTATTGGCACTCTGCTGCTACTGTCACCGAAGACGAAAGGCAAAGCAAGGGAAGGAATTCGGAAAGATAGAGAAGCGCGAGATTTCGTCACCCCTCGAATCGAGCCGCCCGAGCATAGTAGAAGTCTACTATCAGCCATCTCCACTTATACCAGTACCACCACCTCGTCCCCTCCAACTGGACATGTCCGCGTTTGGAATATCAGGCGGTTCCAGACCCGGAGCAGTGATAGGACCCATTAAAGGAACAGATACTGCCGGAAGAGGCAGAAAGAAATTGGCAGACAATCCTCTCAGGAGGTCTAAGACCATGTCTAACCCTCGATTGTCTCAACTCATAAATGGCGATTCGCATAATTCAGGCTTTGGAAGAAGGGGATCAAAATCCGACAACGCATTATCAACGTCTGAAGATAGCTGGAGATACACCCAAGGCAGCACACAGCTAGATCTTAGATCCTCCGGAACAGGTTCATCTCGGACGCAGCCGCTAACGAGAAACTATTCGAATTATTCGCGGAAAGGACATGTTCGGAGATCAACCGTGCTAACCTCTGCGATCCAGGACCCGTCTCATCCAGCGCGGGAAAGTTATCATCATGGTCAGGTCACAGCAGACACGATTTTGAATCTGCGAGACAGCAACTTCTCAGACAGACAGCTCGACAGTTTTTCCGCTATCCAGAATCAAGCAAATTTTCGAGAGAGTAACGAGCCCCTACCATCTATAGAAAACTCTGTAGTCCAGCCCGCTGCTTTGAAACCAGCCAAACGGCGGTCGAGGCTCATGAACACAATCGACAGGCCCCGAGCCATCGGCCACGGGCGTCCCGGGTCCGCCGCCTCAATTGGCGGAATCATGAAACGACAAAGTATTGGCCACGGGCAAGACTACGCTCCTCCACACAACATGAGGAGAGACTCCAGAACGTGGCTCACTGTGGCCACATCCCTCGAAACCGACAAGCGTCGCAGCGTTGCCAGCGCCTCGTCAACCACATACGAAGAGCCAATGCGCAGAACCAGAGCAATGTCACCGTGGAAGACGATCCGCCAAGTCACGAAAAGCCCATCCATAAACTACCACCCTTCCGTGCTCTCCGAAAGCAGCGGCAACTCCCGACTCTCCCGGCCCGTCAGCCGGCGCGTCGGCTCATCCCCTTTCTTCGGTGGCTCCTCTATCCGCAACTCCAAAAAGATCGCCAAGATCGCCAATGACCGGCGGCCCTCCTTCCGCTCTTCGTACGCCGACTCTCCCACGGTTCCCGAAGAATCGATGATGGATAATCTCGAAGCGCGAATAATGCGCGGGATGCGGGAGATGAGCGACGAGACGGATAGGGACTCTTTTGGAATCAGCTACTCGCTGGCGCGGGAGGGGACGCGGCAGCTCAATAGCTACCACCAGGGCCAGATGGAGCGGAGCCGGACCGGCGGAAGTCTGATGAGTGCGGAGAGCCGGGACAGCCGGTTCGAGAGCGCGGCCGAGCTGGACAACTTGGATCGGGATCGAAGCCCGGGACCCGGGCGTCGGGGCGAAGAAGGGGAGAGGGGAGATGAGTCTGAGTTTGAGGATTATCTGCCAGATGGATACTCGGACGGGAGCTGGGAGACGCAGAGGAGCCGGGAGAGGGCTGGGAATGTAGAGCTGAGTTCGGGGGGCGAGGAGGTAGAACCGGGACGGGGACCGGGCCGTGGCAATTCAAAGAGCACGCCTAGTTCTCCGGAGGTCGGCAGAGCCGCGAGGATAGTGAGGGGTGCAGGGAGGAGGCCGGTGAGCGTTGACGCCAGGGCTGCGACGAGGGTGGTGACGCAGAGGGGGGAGATCGATTATACGGCTTATATCTAATGTTTTGGATTCGTCATGGGCAGCTGATAAAGCAGGATGTAGTACTTCATAATTAATTCCAGAAGTAGCAGCAAATTTCCGTTCGAAGTCGCCGATGAATAAGTCCCCAGTAATGAAAATACTAGGTACTGATGCTCTGGGCTAGTTAACAACATCAATCACAACCGAAATTGAGAGCTAGCTAGGTAGCAACGTACTCAACATCGTCGACAGCCAAGCCACCATCTGTAGATCCCCAAAGACAGCACGGTGTACTCCTCCCTTTCCTTCATCTCTATGCTACATACATCCTCTGTACCAGTCCGTCCATCCGTCCGCCGGAGGCGCATCGATCAGATCAAAACCATTTCATCCATCGTGTGGGCGTTCCTCCACCCCCTCTCTTCTTGTTTACCTTTCACTCGCCTAAATGTCTACCACGACAAACATCCTCTTTCTCTCTCTCTTTTCCGTCTTCTTTTCTCACTCCACTCGACCGGCTATCTCAATACAGCCAGCCAGCCAGCCAGCCAGCCAGTCCCAGCCATCTAGTCCCAGCCAGCCCTTTACTATATAAGGATGAATAGCAGAAGGAAAGATGGGATTTGGCTAGCGTTGTGGTCGTGGTCGAATTGGCAAATAACTATCTAGGCCTAGGATCAAGGTTAGGATCAGCAGTAGGCAAGTAAGTAAGTAAGTAAGTAAATGAGTTTTTGGGTGAGTTTTGCTGCTGACGTCGTGGGAAAAAGCCTGTAAGTGAGTGAGTTCGCTGCGGGTATGTGAGTTTTGAGAAGGGGAGAGAGAGAGAGAGCATACACAAGTATGTCATGGGGACAAATGCTGGTATATATTACATATTGATCGATAGATTACATGGGTAATTTCCGGTATAGACATTCTTTACATTAACAAGAGGAGAATCGGGTGCGGCGTTCGCTCAGTTACCGACATGTTGCTTATTATTCAACCCATTTGGGCCTTTCCCTCTCTTTCGCTTCGTCCCTTCTCGTTCCGGCATTCATTAAAACCAGCTCGTAGCAAAAAGCTCATCCTCACTCGGCTCCTTGTCCCCAATCTCATTCGACGCTCCCACCACATCCTGTTCAGCTTCAAGCTTTAGCTCCTCTTGAACCTCCTCCACAAACCCTCTGTCGAGATCAACAAGTTTGTCGTTCTTCTTCTGCAACTCTTCATTCAACGCCCTCCGATTCTTGATCATGCTCAGCGCGATCGTCGTGGCATCATCCGCTTCCAATCCCGCCGCCCTCAGTCTCGTCAGAACACCGACAAGGCTGGCCGTGTCTTGCATAGAAGCATAACCGTGGGCAAGCGTGTTCCATGTAACGATGCTAGGCTCGATGTCGCGCTCTCGCATCATGTCGAGGACTTTCTCTGCGGCGCGGGGCTGCTTATGATCCATGAATATCTTTATAAGAATTGACCAGGTGTAGACGTCGGGTTTGGGAGGCGTAAGCACAGTGAACTGCGAGGTATCGTTTTGGGAGTCGCGGAGCTCCGTAGAGAAGTCCTGAAGCGCTTTGGGATTGCTAGGTTCTGACTTGGAGTGCCCACTTTCCTCGCTTGCTAGTGGCAACCGAAGAACTTGGTCTGAGTGAGGAAACTTGGCATATTGTCGGTCATGGCGCTCTAGAAACGAGTCTTCTTGAGGCGGTATAGCTTGATCAATATCGGAAAGCGGCTCTCCCCTCTTTTCGCTTGCTAGTGATGACTGAGGCGTTTGCTCTGGTGGAGAGATCATGTCTCCAATGAGGGTGTGGCAGTCACCAATGGTTTCTCGAAATTTACCAAGCGACATGAGAACGAGGTTCCAAATGTGAGTAGTCTGCGTCAGAAAGGCCACAGCGGGATCATTGTTATATACCATTTCACGAAATTGATCGTAGAGCTGAAGCGCGGGGAGTGGATTCTGAATGTCATCGAGGAAACTAGTCACCATGACGACCAGAGTCGGCGCTGTAGGGTCCTCTAGTTTTACTGATGCATTCGGATCCCTTTGAATTCGCAGCTTGGGATACCTCTCAGAAAATTTGGGAATAATTCGAGCTAAAGGTTCGAGATTGAAATAGTCGCAGTAAACCGGAAGCAGGCGATCGAAAGCAGAAGCGACCTGCTCTTTTGGTCCATCTGCAGCATAATCACTCTTCTGCTCTTGCTGATGAAGAAGGAGGATTGCATGCAGGACATCGTTCACAATATAGCTGTTTCTGATTGCCCTGTGTTTGACATGCTCCATAACCTTTTTAATAGCGTGCGGGTCCATTCGTAGCTTGGAGTCTTTCAACAGAAGAGAGTAGGTGTAGGCATCGGGTTGAAGACCAGATTCAACCATTATACTGTGGAGCTGCCATGCTGTCTCGTGTTCATGGTTTTCCAGCGCGTTTTCCAAGAGAACGTTGTATATTATGATATTGGGCTTGGCTCCCGAATTCATCATGAAATCAAAAACGTCCAAGGCCAAATAACGATTTTCCCCTGATGGCAAGGTTCTTCTTCTTTGTCTGAGCAAGAGAGTACAGAAGCTCAAGACCTTTGGAGTGTTGAAGTCACAGCCTAGATCCTTCAGCATCTGCAAAATTTCACATGCAGTGTTGAATTGACCATTCTTAGCAAACCGAGTCCCGAACTGGATCAAGGTATTCACGTGTAAAGGGTGATCGGCCTTCCGCAACGTATCGTAGAGCGATTTGATGGAATGCGTGTTCGGCGGACGCTGCGCATCCATTAGTTTAATCGAAGTACACAGTGTACGCTGATCCAATTGGATGTGACCCCTCGGACCCTTTTCAAGCAAGAGATCAAGTATCCCGGAAATTCCGATCTTTTGTGATTTGGAGGTATGAAGGAAGTGCGTAAAGATGTAGTCAAGACTATCAGCGATGGCATAGCCGGGAGGGTATGGCTCGATGAAGGTCGCTACCAATACATCGATAGCACGGTGAGGATGTCTATCCAGTGTTTGGAGCATAACATCCTGCCATACTCGATTCCTCGTCTGAGGCGAGAGAGTCTTCCACTCCTCTGTCATCAGTGCCAGAGATTCGAGACGGACCAAATTGTCTATGAATTCTTGTTTGATACGAGGTCGCTTATAAGTGTACACCTTTGAACTCGCTCGGGCGCCTGCCATCGCCTTGTCATAACGGGCATTGAGCATCGCAAATCGCCAATTCCATGAGGAAGAGAACGAAAGGTTGCCATAAGGTCCCTCGGGTACCAGCCTGACGAACTTGGTTCGAACTGTTGGTAAACCTCTGACGAGGTATTGGCTTCTAAGCCGCCTGCTTCTCCGCTTTTCCCCAAGCCATTGCTGCTGAGCCTCCTGGAGCCTCTGTGGCCTGGGTTTGAAGCTCGGCCGCGTCGTCTGTGCCTCCTGGGGCCTCTGTGACCTGGGCTCGAAGCTCCGCCAGGTCGTTTTAAGACTCCGTACAAAGAACGGGCGCAGTCTCCAACATGGGCGTATCGACTCTTGCATCTCAAAAGCATCCTCGCCAAGTGGTACTTTAACCCTTGAATCGGATGGCTCCTTTCCGATGTTCGCGGGGTCTGGATCTCCTCCCACTCTCTCCATGGGGTCTTGGGCATCCCGCTTCGTCGCTTCCCGTCCCCAGATTTCTTCATATTTTGCCCAGAAATCCTCTTCGTCCCCTAAATCATCGGAAGCTCCGTGTGGCCTATCATCTCTCCAACTGTTGCGCCCAGCTTCTATGTGATCTCCAGTAACCTCTTCGTTGATGTTTGCTCGATCACCTCGGCAAGAGTCTGAATTAACAGCACGTAGAGGCTTCCAGTGCCGCAGCTCTCCAAGATCTTCCTGCTTATTGGTTAACGGCTGGGGGAGACCGTCATGGTAAGCTCTGACGCATCGACGTGAATGGCTCTTCGTGCGGGATGCGATCGAATGGGACCTCGGTGTATCGCGAGGCCATGGCTGGAAGACTCGAGGTGCCAGAAACGGGAGGATGGGCAAATCGAACGTTGACCAGCGTTTCGTCAGCAGGTCTGCGCGTGGAGGCATCAGCTAATGGCTCCAGTCATTCAAAGGCCCATAAAAGTAATGCGGCTTTAAGTGAAGAACTCGAGGGTGGTATGATGGGCCGCTCCGTCAAAAAATCATGTTTCGGAGAGAAGTTGGAAGAAGAGGCTACCGAGAATTTTTAGCGCAGGGCTGAGAAATTTGGTCCGCGCGACTATCATCGAACGACATTGACAAGAATTGGAAAAAGAACCACATGGCGCATCTTCCCTGAAAACAAACCTCATACTCTCCGCCATGTCTTCTACACATGTTAGCCTCGGCGCAGCTGCGGATGAGCGCAAGGCGCGCCTGGCAAAGCTCAAATCTCTGAAGCGCAAACAACCTGGCGACGAAATCGTAGCTCCTGAATCGACACGCTCTCCCTCTCCACCCACCGAACCCGATGTTGCAACGCTTCATCTTTCAGGAAGAAACTATGATCCGGAAACCAAGGGGCCGAGGCTTGGTTTCGAGGCGCCCCCTACCTTAGCTGTCGAGAAGACTCTGGAACAGCAAGCGAAGGAGGTCGAAGACGAGATTAGGAAGAAGGCCGAGGAAGAGGAGCAGGATGACAAGGGCGTAGATCTATTCAAGCTACAGCCGAAGAAGCCAAATTGGGACCTGAAGCGGGATTTGGACAAGAAATTGGAGATTCTGAATGTCAGGACGGAGAATGCGATTGCGAGGATGGTACGGGAAAGGATCGAGGGGTCTCAGAAGGCAAAATTGGGCAATGGGGCTGTCACTGCAAGTGAAGGGGGAGAAGAAATGGGGATGGAGGGTATTGCTCTAGTGGAAGGTGTCAAACTGAGGGAACGGGAAGAGGAAGAAGAGGAGAGGCGAGAGAAGGAAGACGACGAGATGCTGTAAACTTAATGAGGGTTGAGATCACGACTTTCACATGGATGCGTCGGAGGGACTTGGGATTGGAATACGGCGATTCTCTATGGTTCTCTACTCATAAAAAAGCAATGGCTTACGAGCCAGGGGTATATCAATCATGCCATTTCAAAGCATCAGCCCAATTTTGCACCTTTGCCCTGTGTCCACGAAATTTCTGTCATCACACAGTGACCTCACAATCACCCGATCCCCAAGCATCCACTCAACTATTGCACCATAGTTTAGTCCCATGCCGAAAAAATTTCGAGCCAAGCTGACCGCCTTAGAAGCCATTCGTATCAACTGATTATCTACCACCACCATTCATGGCCTGTGTCAGAGCAAGCCGTTTGCTGAACGGACTCAAACTTCGCTCTTTGGGAGGCGGAGGCCTATTTTCGATTCCACTGAGCCTATTTCTGGCATGTTGTCGATCGTTGGACAGATCTCTTCGCTTTCTATAAGGGCTTCTGCTCTCCGTACTCCGGCCTCTAGCAGGTGGGTCGCTCTGCTGGAAGCGTCTCCGGGTACTTCGACTACTTGCTCGCTCTCTCAAAGGCTTTCTCTCTGCGGAGCTGTAGGAATCAGTCGAAGAGAATGAGTCACGCCTCCTCTTCCTCTCCGGATCGGCATGTCGATTTCTGGGCGGTGATGCAGACATGGTTGGAGATCTTCGACGAGATGGAGGCGCAACATTTCTCTGTGTACTCTTGCTTGTAGAGTAGTCTCTTGTTGCTTGGTGAGGAGAAGGAGATCGTGAAATTCCCGTAGATATACTGGAGACGGACGCTGAAGACGCAGACCTCATTCTCTTAGATGTACCTGGAGCTTCTGCTTCCTCACTCTGTCTCTCGCGCTTCCGGCCCCTCTCCTGGTCCGCTTTGGCCAATAGCTCATCGGCGATGCCTTTCCTGGAAGCAAAGAGTCAGTGCATAGCTTCCTCACGCGCCCGTGGAGAAACCCACTTTCTCATGAGGTCTAGCGGGGCATCACTTGTCATCAATCTGGGCTGCAACTTTGGATTGAGCAGCTGCTGTGTCCGAGATGGTCTCGAGACATAGGGACGTTCCTGGATAACTGCTTTGCATTCGTAACTGTAGTGGCGTAATCCGATGTTAGTTTTCGCACATTCTGATATCGAGGCGATGGACTCATCTCTCTTCAGGCATTTTTGGCATAGCGTGGAGGCCGTAGCCTTGGAGGAGGCGGCCAATGGGCCCCTGGCGTATCTGTTCATAGCGGGTTGATCCTCTTGATGGAATCTTTTGTAGAAGTTGTGAAGCTGTGTGGTCGTATATGCTGTTGTGCAGGCCGTTCCAGCTTCTTGTTTGCGGCCCCCGAAAATGTGCCTTGTGAATGCGCTCCGAGATCTGGTAGGTATTCTTTTCCTGAGGTATCCTTTTCCTTAATCTCAAATCCTTGTCTTGCAGCTTGGAGAAGGAGCAGGCGGAGGACTGATGAATGTACTCCGTAGAAAAAGCTAGCTAGCTGGCTGGTGGGTAGTGAATGTCGTTATTCTGTGTAGTTAGTTGACTGGTTGTTGGATGACTGGCGGATGAGCGTCCTTACTGAATCGTTTGCTCCCTTTCCTATCTATCGCTGCAGAACTGTTGAGGTGCACTTGTCATGTATGGTCGTAGGCAATAAATAATAATTAGAGCACTTAAAGAATACGGTCGCAGGAGCTTATGCATCACTTTATCTGGGGAACTACCTAGGTTAAATTGCCAACGCCAAGGCTAGACCCACCTGCGGAAAAGTGACTGCACCTGGGCGCATTGTCGTCCGCCTCCCTACACCTTCACAGTACTTATTCAAGCAGGGCACGTCGGCGATGCTTTGATCTGACAGTGACGGCGACGGCGACGAAGGACAACGGCATCTATCCATCTATCCATCCCAGAATCCGGCATCGCAGACAACTTCTTCGACTAGAAATTTGACGACACTCGGATCAGCTGCAGAGTCCACCACGGGATTGGTTGTACGGGTCGCCAAAGCCCCCCCCCTCTCTCATCCTGACCGTCGTACACCCAAAGCCAAAGGCGAAGCTAACGACAACGACAACGACAATCAAACGACCAAGAACAAGAAAACCCTCCCACCTGCTTGTCAGCTACGACAATGACCAGATGCCTCACCTCATTAGGCGCTCTTGTTGTTAAATTTCTGCCTTAATAACCTTTCAAACGCTCCCGTTCAATCAGGCTCTCCGCCTCGCTGCGATTCACTTTTGTCCAGTTCGTAGCCCTACGCTCTTTTGCTACGATTCAACTTCAGGTTCCGTCAAAAACATCATTCTCAAACATGGCTACTGCGCCAATGTCTGCAGATCCTTCCAGGCTTTCCTTTGCAAAGGTATGTGCGGACGTGGACCCGCTACACCAGGGTCGTAGAAAGCGTCTTTATCATGGATTCAACTGATCATCTATTTTTGCGTAGGTAGCTGCATCTGCAGGAAACAACAATGCCACTCTAGGATCATTCGCCAGAGTAGCATCCTCGAGCACACTTCGAGATCCGAGGAAGGACAACTTCGCAGTCCCTGCACAGAAGGAATCCACGGAGGGCTCGATTCAGTCTCACACACCTACACATCTCAAGTCCACCGACGAGCTTGCCACTTTGCAAGAAGAAGAGCACTCGAACACTGCGGATATCGGACCACGAAGCTCACGAGGGGAGACTGTGCACCCGCCTGTCCTTCGGTCAGAGTCCAGCAATGCTGAAACCAAACTGATTGATGCGGTCAAGGCTCTGGACGTTGGCTCTGAAATGCCTAGCCTTGTGGTCAACGGGTCCGGAGTCAGCGTGGCTAATCCCAAGCCTGAGGGCATTGAGGGGCTAACCGAGGATATCTTTCAACGAACGGATTCTGGATCTGAGCTAGGCACCAAACCACCGAGTCTTGACGGCAAGAGCATAACATCTGGAACTACATTCGCTCTGGATGAGAAGGAGTCTTTGCGTCCGGACGATAGTGCGAGTGTCAAGGCCGCTGAGGATGACGATACATTTTCGGGGCGGGGCTCCATTGTGGCAGGTTCTAGGATTGGTTCTGAAGCTGCTGCTCGTGCATATCGTGCACAGTTCTACGAAGCTCCTGATCGCCGAAGCATGCAACTTACGCAGGAACGCCAAGGCCAAGGAATCAACACTCCTCAAAGTGGCTCCTCGCAGCAAACGACGGATGATGGAAAATCAAAGCCTCTTGTAGGTGCCTCGGATGTACCGGATGCGTTCAACCTATTCTATCGCCAGACTCCTGATGAGAAGCTGTTAGAAGCATTAGAGTCGCCTAAGGATAGAATTTTCCTTTTAAGACTGGAGCAGGATGTGATTGAATTTGTAAAAGACTCGAAGTAAGTTAAACTCTTATCTCGAGGGCCCTTTCTCAACCAGTTCTCTCCCGAAACTCTCAATGCGTTTGGAGCTCAAAATCTGATCAGATACAGGGAGCCCTTCATTGATCTGCCGCCTTGTAACTCGTTCTGTCGACTGCTCACGCACAAGCTCGCGGACTACTATCATATGACCCATCAAGTTGATGCAGTTGCTGGGGCCGTTCGTATCTTTCGGACTCCCTTCTGTCGGCTACCACCCTCCTTGACTAGTATCTCCAACCCTCCCACTACCGGAAACACCCCTCCGCCAACGATGCCTGCAATGAAGATCATGCGCCGAGGAGGAGATATTGGGATAAGCCCTTCCAAGGCGACTTCCGAAGCCGGAAGTGATGGCAAAGAGAAGAGTCTGTCTGCAAAGGAGAAGTAACAGTATTCTTAAATGCATTAAATTCCCTCACTAACTTTTCAAGGCAAACCCGTGAGGAACGAGAAGCTAAATATAATGAGGCTCGAGCTCGCATATTCGGCAAGGAGGAAGTATCCGGAGAGGTTACACCAGGTATGATGAGATATTAGTACCATGCCATCGATTAGCCACTGACCATTTCAGATATTGAAGTGGGCAATGAAATGTCACGATCGAGCTCGGCTTCTGCGAAGGATAGAGCTGCGCAGAACAAGAAGCCTAAGCCTCCCAAGCAACGCCGAGATGACTCTGAGAGCTTCGATCGCCGGTCGCAGTACACTCCGTTCTATCCTCAACAGCCACAAGCACCAACGTGGGTCGCACAGGCTCAAACCCCTTACATGGGAGGTATGGCTTCTCAACCATACAACGGTGCAGTCCAGACGAGCTATCCATCTGCCATGGCCCCCCAATATGCTCAGCCAACGCAGCAATATAATCCGGCCTTAGGAAACAATGGAAGCATGCAGCCATATAATGCCATGCCACAGGTGATGGACCCCACATCACTCGTACAACTGTCTCTGACAATGATTGAGCAGTATTCCCAACAGTCAACTCAGCAGCGGTACCAACCACACAGTGCCCCTATCACATCGTATGGTACACCAGTTCAGTCACCACAAATTTCTACCCAGCAGTGGCCGCAGCAAGCTGGCTACCAAACTGGATACCAAAACCAAGCCCCGGTTAGAGGACCCCCGAGCGCCGTCCCGTATGCGTTTGGTCAACTGCCAAACGCTGTCAACCCAGCGGACCCAAAGAGCCAGCATCCGATCCCTGGAAGTTTTAACCGTCACGCTTTCAACCCAAAGACTCAATCTTTCGTCCCGAACAACCCAGGTCTTCCAATTCCTCAATCCATGTCACACCATGGATCACCTCACCAGGGCTCTTCCCACCATGGCTCTCCCCACCACGGCTCTCCCCACCTTCCATATAACGCCTTTGCTCCAACCCAACAACAGTTCAGCAACGGTATGGGCTACAACATGATCAGGCAAGGCTCAAACAACTCACTACCATCTTACCATGCTTCTCCGCACATGTCTCATAGGCCGATGATGCAACAGGGTGTGGCACAAGGCTTACCGATGCAAGGTATGCCTCAGCAGATTGGTACCCACCTTCCGAATTACGGCAATCCCTCGACCCTTCCTCCTAAACCACCAACGGGGTTTTAGGGAGACTTTTGTGATAATAATAGGCGGCGTACGGGGTAGCATTGGTGAGGAGTTTGTGGCAGGAAACTGCGGGGATCAAATGATACTTTAGTACCAGGTTTACAACAATCGAGCTGATAGACCAATTACGAACAACGCATGAAACCACGCTGTGATGCGAAAATATCTTATATTGGACAGGTATTGTATTTTTGGGTGAAGAATTGCCCTCCGTGAACGCCGCGATTCATCCTTTCCTATGCTAATGTAACGTGCATGTTGAACATTTGAAGGATCTCAGTAACCACATGACTATTCGTTGGGCTCTCTGGGCTCTCTTGGTTCTCTATTTCTGTCACCTCCGCCGCCACGTCCTCCTCCACGTTTTCCACCCCGACCACTGCGTTGTCCCTTATTCTCGGAGCCAGCCTCTCCTCCGTTTCCAGGCGTAGCATCTGAACTACCCATCGTGAGAGTAGCCGTTGCCAGTCTTTGGGACAGCTCGATTTGAGTGCGGATAGTGTTGGCCAGGTATGAAACTACCAACACGTCCTGGATGTGGTTGTTGAAGTCTCGCTCGATTTCTTGAGGATCGACCTTTGGCGATAATGACAAGGCGTTGATGAGGAATTGGCCCAAGGGATTCGAAGGTTCACGTTCCTCGTCCAGAACTGAGTTGACGTATTCCGACACTCTCTCCAGAAGATCCACTGTCTGATCAACTGCACGCTCCAGACCCTCAATATCCGAGACGACTGGGGCAGCTCGGTTTTCGCTATCCTTGGCTCCAGAAATCAGCTCAAGGCCACTCTTCTCAGTCTCGCCGTATCGGATTTCGTAGGGCACTGGGATGAAGAGGCAGGTCTCCGCAGCACGCTCAGCATTCACTCCGACTGGCGCACTGACGTATGCCTTCGCCTCAATGTATTTTCCAGCCTCACTCGAGATCGTCAAGTGGACGGCAGGGTGCGGGAAAGTTCCAGTCTCGGAGCTGGCGAAGAAGTTCTGGATCAAGGCGCTGAAGTTGTTAAGGCCCAGGTTCGTCGTGTACCATCCTAACAGAACCTCTCTGGGGTTCGCCTTCAGCTGCAGCGCGAGCATGTTCTTCTGGTAATCGACATCGACCTCGACCTGGTCCTGGTTCTCGGTGTGCGGGATCGCAAAACAGTTTCGAACCTCTACCTCCATACCATCCTCCGAGCGTACGCCGAGAAGAGCGCCGATGACGCGCGCGGATTGGGTTTGCGAGTCGTCGCGGCGGATAGCGTGGTCGAGGATGGAAAAAACAGCCTGTTAGGCGTGAGTAACTGTACTAAGAACATCTTTGAAAGTATTCATCGTACCTGGGGTTGAACCACGACGTTCAAAGGGGCAGTTGAGACATTTGCACCGATAACTGCTGGCGCAAGAGGGCGCGCGACATGCAGGGAGTTGTTTGCGGCGACCGCCATGCTGGGCTGTTGGTTATGAGGTCGGGGTGGAGGGAAATGTCGAGATTGTTTTTCAAACTACGCACCTTGACCCCTCGCCGCCGCTTGTGGGAACCTAATTCAGTCACGTGTCTACATTATATAAATTCTTTTTCTCAATATGGGTTCGGGATAAAATGGAGTTTTGAGAAAAAGATTGCTTGGTATAGTCACTCATCGGAAAGGTCATGTTATTCTGCAGCATGCCCATCTTTTCCGTGACAAAGTCAGATCAGTTTCAGTTCAAAATATCCACGCTGAGAAGAATAGGACCTTATCGATAAGGGCTAAGCCGGCGGAATAAAAAAAAAAAAAATTGCGACAAGGGTCTCTCAGCACTTTCGAACATTCACAATATGGCTTTTGGAGACTCAAGTGGTGGCTCAAGAGGCCGGGGAGGCAGTTACAGTGGTTTTAGAGGTCACCGAGCAGCTTCAGGTGCTTTTCGAGGCCGGGGAGGAAGTTCGGGTGGTTCCAAAAGTCGTGGAGGACCCGGGGGATTCAGAGGTCGGGGAGGCGAAGGACGAGGGCGAGGGCGAGGGAGAGGGAAGCCTGTCTATGATAGTCAAAGACTGGCACAGCCAAAAGAAGGGTCAGCTTCTCGGTCTTACATTTGGAGAACAAAAGTCTAACATACAATAGCGAGGAAGCTGAAAGCACAGAATCAGAAGACCCGTCTGGGGAAGATGAGGCCAGCGAGAGCGATTCTAGTGACGAGGAAGAAGAGCCGTTAACGGTTGTACGCTCCTATGCAACTCTCATGCAAAGCTTTACGGAGTCAGGACCCGGTCATCAAGCAAAGAGACGGAAACTGGATCATGTTCCCGAGGCCGAGCCACACCAGAATGATAACGAGGATATTTCAGAGAATATTGCAGATGATGCAGATGAAGTAGAAGAGCCGGAAGAGGGACCAGAGACGGCAACCGACGACATTCTGGAGGACGACGATACTGAAGACAGTTCAGATCCTTTCGAGGCACACTTCGCCGCTCCTGATGACAACATTCTCTCCAAAAGACTCAAAGCCCTGGAGCTGAATCAGTGGACGACCCAGAAAATATGTCTCCAGAAGATTTCTAAAGCTGTCGTCAGCCTTCCTGGAAATGAAGAATCCAAGGCTTTTGCTCCAGCTACGATTTTAGGCCCGAGCCAACTCAAGCTGAAGCAAAAGTTGGCAAACGTCATGGGGAAACAGAGACCAAATTTTGACCCACTGGAGAAGTCTCTTGCTCCTCTCATGTTCAACTACCAAGATATTCTGTTCTGCGAAAGGAACACAGGAAATTCTGAAAGCTTACGACGACTAGCCTGCTTACATGCCGTCAATCATGTTTTCAAGTAAGTGAAAAGTAAATCGCCTAGATAAGATTGGTCTAACAGAACTGCAGGACTCGAGACCGAGTAATCAAGAACAATTCACGGCTAGCGAAAGAAGACAGCAGCGACGATCTAGAGCTGCGGGATCAGGGCTTCACTCGGCCTAAAGTACTCATGATCTTGCCCACCCGAGAATCATGTGTAAGAATGGTAAGCATGATCACATCTTTGTGTGAGCCAGAACAGCAGGAGAATCAGAAGCGATTCAACGATTCTTACGTAGATCAAGAGGAGAAGTTCTTCTCCGACAAGGCAGAAGATTTCAGAGAGTTATTTGGTGGAAACGACGATGACATGTTCCGGCTTGGTTTGAAATTTACTCGGAAGACTGTCAAATACTTCTCCCAATTTTACAACTCCGATATCATACTTGCCAGTCCATTGGGCTTGCGAATGGCTCTGGAAGGCAAAGATGATAAGAAGGGGGACTATGATTTCTTGAGTTCTATCGAGATGGTCATTGTAGACCAAGCCGATGCTCTGCTCATGCAGAACTGGGAGCATATGGAATACATTTTTGAGCATTTGAATCTCCAGCCAAAAGAAGCCCATGGTTGCGATTTCAGTCGAGTTCGGAGTTGGTATTTGGACAACCATGCTAAGTACTTCCGCCAAACGATCACGCTGTCCGCGTTCAACACTCCGGAACTCAACACCCTCTTCTTCAACCAGTCGAAGAATTGGGCAGGCAAGACAAAGATCAGCGCTGTGTATACAGGCGCTATCCAGGAGCTGGGTCTGAAGATTAAGCAAACCTTTTCTCGGCTCGAATCACCTTCGTTCGCTACCGACCCGGACGCTCGCTTTACTTACTTTACAACCGCCATCATTCCAGCATTGACTCGTCGCTCTAAGGATATCGCTGGTACTGTTATCTTCATACCTTCATACCTCGACTTTGTGCGGGTACGAAACTACTTTTCTGCATCAACAGCAACGATCGGACTGTCCTTTGGTAACATTTCTGAGTACACCTCTGTTCAGGATGTTGCCAGAGCGAGATCTCATTTCTTCAATGGCAGGCACAATGTTCTTCTCTACACCGAAAGAGCTCACCACTTCCGTCGCTATCAGCTCCGAGGTGTGAAGAAAGTCATAATGTACGGATTGCCCGACAACCCTATCTTCTACAAGGAGATCGTGGGAGGTTTCTTGGGGAGAAGTGTTCGGGAAGGAAATTTAGAACAAGGTGGAGGGTCTGTCAGAGCCCTATTCTCCAAATGGGATGCTCTGAAGCTGGAGAGAGTCGTAGGCACAGAGAGAGTAGGGAAGATGATCATGGAGAAAGGCGATACCTTTGATTTCTTGTAAAACAATCAAACCTAGTTCCTGCGATACAAGGGGCTCAATATCTGAAACCAACGCCAGCCCATGCAATGCAGTACACTCGTGCCTTCTAATTGTACAGTGTCCCTCAAATACACACCAAATCTTATGTCTTCCCACCCCATCTACTGTCCTTACTCTGAGCGCCATCCCTCTCATTCATGTGCAACTTTGCGATCTTCTGGATCATGTTCTCGAGCTCTTGCTCACCCTTCTTCCTGTACCGTGTGACCTTCTCCATGTTCCGTTCTGTCATCTCGTTCATCTCTTCGCCTGCAGCCCTCTGCCTCGCTATAGTCCGCGCAGTCATGGCGAACCGCATATCCCTCGGTCCATCAACTAGCTCTAGGATCGCGGAAGGTGCCTGGTCGTCTTTTAGGGGTTCGATTCGAAGCACACGAGTGTAGCCGCCTGGTCTATTCTGATATCGTTCTCGCAGTGGTCCGAATAGCTTTGGCAGGAGCTCGTGGGGTGTCTGACGCCGTTAGCACCCGTAGAAATTCGTGGTATTTCATGAGGGAACATATTGAAGGGATATTAGACGTACGAAAAATATGCTCAAAGCTCTCCGTTTGCTAGCCTCAGTATTCTTCTTTCCCAGGGTAATGAGTTTCTCCGCTAGCCGCTGGGCCTCCTTCGCCTTTGGGTATGTCGTGGATATGGACTCGTGTGTGAATAAACTGGTAACCAGATTGCGGAGGAGAGCCTGTCTGTGGGAGGATTTGCGGCCCAAATGGCGATATTTCTGTAGATGCGGTGTTAGAAGTGATGTCCTGAGATGAATGGAGGGCATTAGTCGACTCACCATACGTCCACCTGCCATGCTGAAATACCACGATGCGTAGATCTGGTTGTCCTGGGAGACACTTCGTGGTTGACGACTGGCGTGGTGCTTAGAAATTCCTACTTGGGATGGTGAGATGCCGACGAAATTTCGCGAGCCGCAATGCACCCCAGACACCAGATCAACGCCAGCTCCTCGTGGCTCCCAACCTAAAAGCTCGTTTGAGCTCTCACTGACCCGACCCAATTGGACTTATTGCTCCATTAATGTTTTATTGAAAGCAAGACTGAAAGTTTCAGCGCATTCGGCACAGAAAAACTACGAAATATGGGCTTCACAACTGGATTCGTGAGTTCCGGGCACCACCGATTGCGCCGGTCAAAAGCTCACACCTATACAGACCGGAGGTGTCACCTTGACATTGGGAATCGCATACCTCACAGTCATTGCTCATGAGCGGAACCGACGTCTCCAGGGGCAAGAGCTCAGATCTCAGGCTTTCGTCCTCGAGCGCCTGCTCAATCCCGAACCTCTTCCACCACCACAAAGCCGCGACGAGCTCGCACGCGAAGAACGGACTACCATAGTAGAAGCTGCGAAAGATAGATGGAATGCCGAGGTTGAGAATGCAGTACGCTGGGTGCAACGAACGGATTTCAATGATGTGAGAGAGGGCATGGAGGGAGCTGTGGCACGGCTGCTAGGAGGTGGACTACAGAAGTCAAGGGAGGGGATCGAGGAAGGGGAGAGGCAAGCTGGGCCGAGGTTCCAGGAAGCTTTCGACGAGAGCAAAGCTGTTGCTAGAAAGGGGGCTGATCAAGCTGCTGTTGGGATTGACAGGGCTGCGACGAAGACGATCCAGGCAACTGAGCGGGTGGGCACTGGGATTGAGAAAGGTGCGAGCAAGATTGCCGCAGCGACGAAGGAGAAGTGGGCACAGGCTGGGGAGAAAGCTGGGGGGATCCGCGATGCGGCCGCTGCGAAGGCTGACCGGGTGGCTGCGAATGCTAGAACTGGTGCTCAAGATGCGGCAGATGCCATCAAGCACAGTGGTGGTACTTTTGATGCGGCTCGTGGGGCTGTTGGAGACGCTGTGACCAGGGGAATCGAGAAGGGAAAAGAGGCCATTGGCAAAGCTCAAGCGGCCGTTGGATTAGCGGCTGAGAAGATGGAGTCAAAGGGACAGTCTGCTATGTTGAGCCATTCTTCAGCCGTGGAGAAGGCTCTCAATCAGAGATACGAGCAGCCACGATTCCACGATAAGACCGTGGAAGAGACTCTAGCTGAGAGGTACATCCCTATGGATCAGCAGGACCCCACTCAACTTCGTGGACTGTAAACTATACTGTAGAATAGACCTGTTGCTCCAATTCCATTTGTCGAATTGTTAGCTACACCTGGGCTGAGCGTTACACTCTTTTCGTACCTTTCAATTTCTTGCTTTTGTTCGTTCCTCGTTCGACATCTAGCCCGACCGCCAGGTCTGATCTTTCCTATATTCAAAACCCAACCTTTGTCTAAGTGCTCTTAGTTTCTGGCGACGCTCCACATTCTTGTGAAGACGTAGAAAACAGCCGGGTGCTTGTTGAGGCTATTCGACTGTTGTTCGGCTCTCTACAACCACATCGCGTGTCCTCGCTTAGCTATAATCAACACGGGAAGCGTCAAGACTCCTAGATCCCAGCTGGGCTGATATACTAATTGAGTCATTGAGGAGATCCCCTTGAGGATGGCTCCTAGAAATCTTGAACAGTTTTGTGAGTTGCCTATCAATAGTCATTTAGCTAGTGGCTATTCACAACCAGATTTTCCACACTGTGATTCAGCTTCATCTCAACTCCAAGATCTATCTATATATACCAGCTTTTACTATCCAGTTCAAAGGTCTTCTTTTTATACACTGAGTATCGTGTTCTCCTTCTCCTTCTCCTTCTCCATTGCCTCTCTGTTTCAGGAGCTATTCCACATGGAGATCATTGTCAGACGCCTCACAGGCGAGGACGCGGTCCTTGAAGTAACCCGCGACACAACAATATCAGAGATCAAGCTCACGATCCGCAATAACCGAGGAATACCATGTCACCAACAACGACTACTCTTCAAAGGCAAAGTCCTCAGCGATAGCTCTACCCTCGCAGACTCGAGCATCTACCACCAAGCCAACCTCTACCTCACCTTGAAAATCAGCCGCAAAAGTATCGGGGACGTGTCCAACACCCGCAAAATCTTCATCCAGGCCGAGGACGGCGAGGTCCTTACGCTGGACGTACAGCCCCATGACATGGTTGATCGGGTCAAGAACCTGGTGCAGGAGGACATCGGGGTCCCGTATTGGAGACAGGTATTGAGGTTTAATGGCAAGGTGCTCAGGGACGAGGGCCGCTCTCTGTTCAGTTACGATGTATACAATGGGGCGATTTTGGGGTTGATGATTAACCGTCAAGATGAGAGAGAGCCCGAGTTTTCAGAGGAGGACAGTGAATAGGGAGGACAGGAAATGGGACGGACGACTTTGTGATTGTCATCTACTGGGTCCGGGTTAGGCTCGAAGGATCTAATCACCTTTATAAGGAGCGGATCAATCACAGAGCGAACGTGTCAGGTCACCAAGGGCAAAACAAATGTATGAGGAAAGTGGTTAACGGGAACTTGGGGCTAGCCAGCAATGCAAGCAAGGTATTAATATAATTATCATTCATTACCTATTCAAGCAGCTCTCATCTAGGCAGAAGGGGCGTCACGGATAAGTGTCCAAGTAGTTCTCTTCTCCCGACTCACACCTCACCTCTCTAAATCGCGTCTGTACTGCTTATACCCACAGAACCTTTATCCCGAAACATCCGAGACACAATAGAATGGAAATCGCACCAGTAGACGATGGTTGACAGTGTCTTCTGCCGATGTCAGGATTTGCGAGTTTGGTTTCGCTCTCCTTGTTAGCTGACTACTCGCCAGTCAAGTTGCTGAATAAGTGCAATTGATGAATCACGTACAAAAATCCCAGCGTACTTGAAGCCATTACTCAGTGTGGAACGAAATTGCCTATGGGTCTCGGGCAACCTCAAAATGTAATACCCGAATATCATTTCCCCGGTGATAGCTTCAGAGGCGGACTGGGCGGTGTTATTCACTGCCTACATATGTTGTACCGAAGAGGCGAAGACCTTGGATACTTGGGTACTCCAGACCGCTGCAACTAGACTCAAAACGAAAAAAAGCGACAGACATGCAACTTACCGGAGAAGGCTAGGTATTTAATTGGTAGACTCCTAGAAAGCTTAGAGCCCATATTGAGCACTGCGCTGCGAAGTATTAAACGAAGGATATCTCGGCGCCTGCCTAGATCTGATAAAATTTGGTCGCTGTGTCTCATGGGTATAAGAAAATGTACTTCAAGGCGGAACCTCCTGCATTTTCCATCAAACGCCAACGTGCTTTGGTAGCTCCGATGCCATGCTTGCTATTGGTAAAGCCAGCCCGCGAGGCAACTTACATATCCAATGCTGATGCCGAAACTCCTTACAATGACCGACCGGAGAATTCCAGTATCAATCCAACCTGGCACGAACGTCTTCCTCGTAGCCCACAACATTGTCCACGATAGGGGCGAAGCTGGTGTTATGACCACCCCAAGCTTTCCCCTCTTTCGCACACGCAGCTCGGATTGCTGATGCCAGATTCCTGATTACTTTACTTAGCTAGCTTTTCTGCAAAAGAAATTTCTCTCAATGTAGATTTGCAACGTCTGATGGTCCAGCGTACGTGCGTGGGACATGAAGGGTCTGAACATACCGAGTATCTCCCCTCGTAGCATACCCCTGAGCTTCCAACTCATCGGCCAGCTCTTGTTGATGATTATCCAGTAACGACGTGTTGGGTACCACGACCAGCGGGACATCAAGTCTCATAGCATCCAGAATTGTCCCAGCACCTATTGCATCGGTTGTAAGTTACTGCTACACGTGAGAGATCAAAGCTGTGACATACCAGCGTGACATATAACAAGCCCCTTCCTGGAGCTATTCCCAGCCTGGCAAGCTCTCATCTCCTTATTCAAACCATTCCTGTTGAAATCAAACCCGTTGATGACAAGTCCTCGTGTGTCCGTAAGCCTGAGCTGCTCAAAAGCTGATATTGAGTCTCCGCATTGGAAGTTCAAATTTGTAAAGCCATTGTCGATAAACGCTTGGAGAGATTCTGGCGCAAAAACTGCCTGGATGAGCTCTGTGAACCTTGCTGTCGCACCGGTGGTGATGAAGCACTCTTTGATCATCTTGCCATCGAAGGATGTATCATGTACCGGTTTGTGTGTGGGTGTATTGGAGGAATTTGGGCGGAGTTGGACCGAGGAGAGTTGCTAGTAGAAGTGTAAATCCGAAATATGTATACTTCTTTTACATTGTAATTTTGAGTAATCAAGATGTGGTCGGGGATAAGTCACACAGTGGATTAGTGGATATAGATAGAATAAGATAGTCGGCTTTTGATTTCCGTATGTTCATTCAACTTTGATAAATGTTGGCATCGCTTGGAGCCGACCACCTCCGTAGATAGACTAGCGTCCTTCTTATCGATAACGGCTGGATGTGGATGTAGTAGATTCATCAAGATCAAGGGTGCGAGATTATCCAAAATCGGCCGATGCTTCCTGGCTGGGTCTACAATTTTGTCGCTGGGAGATATCAACAACAACGCCAACATCAAGAGAGCCACCACCGATGGCAACAGCTATGCAAGGCCTCCGCTCAACAGCTAAGAGCTGTGTGTGCATTCAGAAGCAATATCTATACTCAATTGGTTTTGGGTCAGGCAGGGCATTCTCAATGACAGCTCAACGACCCAATATTCGAGCCGCGGAATCGAGAAACAGCAACGATCCCAGGGTGAAGGAGTTACTGGAGAAAAATCAAAGGCTTGGACTGGCGGTGCGAAATGAGGATAGGAACGGTGAAGAGTTCGACGAGATCCACCGAAGGATCGATGCGATACTTGCTACGCATGAACCTTTACGACAGCGGAAGAAGTTAAAGGAGAGTTTCATGAATATGGGAGAGGTAGAACCGTGGGAGGACGAGTATACAATGCAGGACGACGACGACGATATGAATTCTTTGGCGCACGGAGAGTTGGAGCAGCACCGGGAGATGAGACATTATGCCCGTTTGGTTGCATGGGAGATGCCACTGCTTTCAAGTATGTTTGCAAGGCTCTGACTAGGCTCTTAAATACGCTACTAACGAAGATGCAGAACTGGCAAAGCCATTTAAACCGCCGACTAGAGACATGCCCCTGCGATTCAGGTATACGACCTACATGGGCGAGCACCATCCAGCAGAGAAGAAAGTCGTCCTCGAGTTCTCTCCGGCAGACATGCCAGGCTTGACGAAGGTGCAAGCGGACAAGCTCCGGAAGCTGGTGGGTGTAAGATACAACCCGGAGAAGGATATCGTCAAGATGAGCTGCGAAATGTTCGAGACCCAGGCTCAAAACAAGCGATACCTTGGAGATATCGTTGACACGCTGCTCAAGGAAGCCAAAGTAGGTTCCTTGCTTACTCTGAAGGGCATCAAGATGCTGACACTGCACAGGATCCAACAGACACATTCGAGGATATCCCACTTGACACACGGCATCACCCTGTCAAGCCAAAGCCACAATTTCCAAAAGAGTGGGCGGTGACTGAAACGCGGCGGCAGGAGTTGATCAAATACCGTCAAGCGATGATGTTGAAGGACCAGGAACGAGAAATCACAGGCCAGCTGATAGATGGCATCAGGCAGATCCAAGAGGGATTGAGCAGGCCCGTGGATACGGGGGCTCGACTGCCTCAACCAGACCTGGCGGTGAAAAGGGGAAAGAAGGTGGGAGTCAGGAGGTGATTGTGGACGAGGCTCGGGTTGAGGACGTAGGTGCAAATCAGTGTACGAATACAGTACAAGAGAGACATATATCCAAATGTACGAATACTTGATCCATGGGATCGGCTCTCCCGGGTCGTTGTCTATTGCACGTGGGGGAAGGCAAGAAAGAAAACAAGGAAGGTAAACTTGGATCAAATAAGAGACGATGATACTAATCCTAATTTCAATCAAGCTTACACCGGCGGCATCTTATCCAGCTTTAGGTGTTGGGGGATTACCTAATTATCACGGAGCAGGATTGCCCCGCACTCGGGAGCTCTCCCTCTTCAAGCCTCGGCCTACGCGGATGTTCCTGTTGAGTTCGAGAGCAGGCCCTCTCTCCCAATCGCTTTCCCCTCCGACTCCTCTTATCTTGCATACCTAAAGCTGACATACATACCGGTACTTGTCTCACCTGCATTTGCTTTTTGGTACCGGTACCTTATAAAGCAAGCTGACCGTCCCCTCTTGTGCTTACAGGTCTCCATGCAGGAGCCAATCTTCTTCACCACTTCTACGAAAGCTGTTTTTGAACAGAACAAACCCATTAAGCAGCAGTAAGTTATATGAAGCTCGGAACCGAACTGCCAAATACTCACTATCTTTTCTGTAGCTCAATCCATACAATACACCATGGCGGCCATCAAGATTGCGTCGTTCGAGTCTACACCCGTCGAGTCCATCCCAAGCACCGTCAACCTTTGCAGGGCCACATTCCGCTCGCAGAAGACCAAGCCAATTGCATATCGCTTAGTGCAGCTCCGGAAGCTCTACTGGGGAATTGTCGACTGCTCTGATGCCTTGGTTGAAGCATGCAAGCAGGATATTGGGAAGCCCGTATTCGAGACCTTCGTGTCAGAGATCGATTGGTGCAAAAATGATATTATGTTTGTTACCAAGAACCTGGAGAAGTGGATGAAAGACGAATCTGCTCCGGATATGCCTCTCATAAACACTCTAAATAACCCGAGGATCAGAAAGGAGCCTCTTGGTACGGTCCTGGTTATTGGCGCATATAACTTCCCTGTTCAACTTTCGCTTGGTCCATTTATTGGTGCTATCGCAGCTGGTTGCACTGGGGTCTTGAAGCCATCAGAGGCCTCTCCAGCTTCGGCCATGGTCCTGAAGAAGATTTTCGAGGAGTATCTTGACCCAAATGCCTACTCTGTCGTGAACGGTGCTATCCCGGAAACCACGGCCTTGCTCAACGAGAAGTGGGATAAGATTTTCTACACTGGAGGCGCTGGTGTCGGAACGATCATTGCAAAGAAGGCAGCCGAGACACTGACACCAGTCTGCCTTGAGCTTGGAGGCCGAAATCCTGCCATTGTCACCAAGAATGCGGATCCACGCCTGGCAGCTCGCCGTCTCGTATGGGGTAAGCTTCATAATGCTGGGCAAGTATGCATCAGTCAGAACTACACTATGGTCGAAAAAGAAATTCTTCCTGCCTTCATCGAGCAACTGAAGATCGCGTTCAAGGAGTTCTACCCCAAGGGTCAAAAGTCTAGCCCCGATTTTGCTCGAATTGTCAACAAAAGACATTTTCACAGAATCAAGAAGATGGTTGACGATTCGAAAGGCAAGATTTTAATTGGTGGCGAGATGGATGAAGCTGAGAACTTTATTGAATCCACAGTTGTGCAGGTCGACGACCCGAAGGATTCGATGATTGTGGACGAGTCTTTCGGACCTTTGATGCCCCTTTTGGCAGTCGATAGTGTGGAAGAGGCTATCAAAATCGCGAACTCTGTCCACTCAACCCCTCTAGGACTGTATCCCTTCGGTAGCAAAGCCGAGACTGACAAGAGTATGTTCCCAAGTCCTTTTCCACGGCGCCATTTGCTGACAACATCAAGTTCTCAACGAAGTTACATCCGGCGGCGCCACCGTCAACGACTCTTTCTTCCACGGATCGATCCCTACTCTCGCCTTCGGCGGCGTCGGTGACTCGGGCCAAGGGTCCTACCGTGGTAAAGCCTCCTTCGATACCTTCACGCACCGTCGATCCGTCGTGACTACTCCCGGCTGGATGGAGAAGCTCGTCGAATTCCGCTACCCACCCTATGACGGCAAGCTCAAGCAATACCGCGCCATGACCGAGGTGAAACCCAACTTCGACCGCGATGGCCTCGAGATCAAGGGCTTGGCCTACTGGATCAGCTTCGTGCTGACTCTCGGCGGAAGCGGTGCTAAGGGTGTATTGTTGCGCTGGGCTGTTGTCGCTTGGATTGCAGTTGGAACCAAAAGATTGCCGCAGCTTAACAATGGTTTGCCTTCTTGGTTGCGTTGAGGTAATATATATATATATATATATATAATAATATGCGCTGATTAAAATTCGCGTCCAAGCGATGTATGTTTGACTATAAGTAATCTACTTTGTGATTTTTTTTGGCGGCCGTTGATTGACAGAGGAAGCAAGTGGCATACACAGTACGCGGCGTACACAGCACAGGGATTACGAGTTGGTCTGAAGTATAGTAATGCACTACCGGTACCTCCCAGGCGTAATAATTACCACCTGAGGGTTGGGAAACCAGGGGGTTTAACTTGGAGATTGAAACTTTTGAGCCAGCATCAGGCGGTAGTTAGTTGTATTAGGGCTGTCCTGTAGTACTTGTGTGCGGCCAGTACGGTAGTTACGGATAAGTACGTACAAAGGGAAACAGTAGGTTGAAGAGTTGAACCCTCTTAAACGCACGGTATCGCACAAACCCTCCCAAGTGGCGCGCGGGTCTTCCAACAATGTGTCTAAACTCTGTTTCTGAACTGATTAACGCGTTGATTGCGCAAAGGTCTAGGAATGTGACTTCCCCCAGAATCTATGAAAGACACCTTTCCTATACTACTCGCTGTCCCTCAATAATCATTTCCTTTGCTGATCTACAGTACTGTATTCGAACATTTCCTGTCGGTCGGTGGGAAGAGGGGGAGGGAGGGTTTTTTTTAATAAAGTTTGTTGTTGTTGTTGGGATATTGAAGGCGAACAAATAAAATTTGATTGTTTACGACAGGTTTTAGCGATCCGACTGTTGTTTCCTACGCTAAGATATTCTGCCCACACCAGCCGTCGCAGCTTCTCTTTCTCTTCCCTTCCCTTTCTCGTTCTTTGTGTTTTTGCCGGCAGCGTATAGGGGGCAGGATTGTGATGGGGATGGAGACGGGGAGAGGGAGGAGGGAGAGGGAGGAGGGAGGGAGTAGGGACGGGACGGGACGAAAGAGGAAGGATGTCGAGGGAAAGGTTGGAAGCCACGCGAGAGAAGGACCGAGAGGAGAGGATGGGTAGTAGCAAGGGGCGCAAGCAAGAAGATCGGGGCCGATGTACGTTGAATGCATACCTACGTACGTATCGACTTTGGGAAAATGAAGAAAATCGATCGATGCACGTGAGCGAAAGCCCTACCGAGTTTTCGTAGGTGAGATCGAAAATCACGCACTTTCGCGAAAATCTTAAGGGGGTAGGGTAGGGTAGGTAGCCTTAGATGGCGATTTTAAAGCGCGTTCTGGTCGAATATCAACTGAAAAACGCAAGGCAGCGACTCGAAAGGGCCGAAATAAATAAAGAGAGAAAGAGAGAAGA